TTTATGGAAAAATATTAATCATAATAGAGGGTCATGAACTTTGATCTATTCTGAATCCCCTTGTGTGACAGCTCATCAATTTTGATTACTGTAATTTCTCAACTATTGGAAATAGAACTCCAATGATAGAAGTCTTAGATTCTGCATAAAAGAAATGGGGGTGGGGATTTGGGGGTGGACTGGATGGGTGAATGATGGATTTGGTGAATCTTCATAATTTTAGGACTTTGGTCTAGTTGTGAAGGCTTGCTAAGCAACGATTCTTAAGGCAAGGTGGTGTTAAATATTTACAGTATGATAATTGAAATATCTAAGAGTGAACAAAGAAGAGAGTTTCCAAATGACCAAGTGAAAAGAAAATCAGTTGCCAAAAACTTCCCAATTGACTGTTTGAACACACCTTAGTGAGCTTCCAAATCATGAATGTTGTCGTGTTTTTTCTTGGCACTTTTATTGTCAATTTAAGAGGTCCTTATCTGTTAGTCCTGAAAACTCGATGCGCAATATTTAGGTAAGATGGTATTGACTTATCTAAACAATATTTCCTTGTTCTTGAAATGCAGATAATCTATTACGGTCTTGGAAACCTTTTTATTGTTTAATGGACTCAGATATGGATGTTTCCTTTTCCAGGCGAGTCCTGCTACTGAGATGCAGCAGCGGCACTTATTTTTTCTATCTTACTATGCTTGCACATTTATCTGTCGCTATTGACAGAATTTCGTGTATCTAAACAGATGTATTTTTCTTTATGTCATTCTTACCGACTTTCAATTAACAACCACTATCATGCCTCACGTCAAGCTAGTTGGGGCGACTCTATGAATCTTCATTATCTTTTTTCATTTAAGATCATGCTTAGTGATGTAAAAGTACTTATTTTGTATTCAAGATTACTAATATATTACACATGCATAATATTTATGGAATATCACTGGCTTTATGTACTCTGTTATCTACTGCTCTGTGATACCACAAATGTGTTTTTACCTGGGAAGAGGAGATTGCTGATTTTAGTTGTGTGCATATTTTTTGTTGTAACCATCTACTGACTTGAGGTACATATCAGGTGTCTCCTTGCCAGATCTCTCTTTTTAACATCCTATCCAACATGACTTGAAAACGTTTGAATATACCATAGATAGGATTGTGTTTGACAATTTGATACTTGTAATAATGGTATTTCCCTTGCTTGCTGGTTTACTAGAATATGAAGTAGGTACGGTATATTAGATACAGGAGGGAGTCCTTTGCCCCAAGTACAGGATGTATAAGTTTCAACAGTCAATGATGTCTCAGTGTGTTGCTTTGAGCTTATGTTGGTTGTTTTTCACTGTTTCCATCTCTTGTGAAAATCAATCTTGATTCAATCAGCTTAATCAAGAGTTGTTTTCAGTTCATATGTCAAACTTGTTCGAAGTAGTGAATTATTGATGTGCTGTTTTTATGGTTTTCACAAACTCACACATCATGTTCTCAAGGCTATTGGAGTATGTTTGAAGCTTATTAATGACTAAATGGTGGGCTTCTTTGTCTGTCTTCAGCTGAGATCCAACACAGATGTTCTGGCTTAGCCTCTGCCTCTTTGTGATGATTTAACTTGCTAGCTTGATTCTCACCACTAATATGTTACGGGAAACAGCCTTACATATTCTTTGTTTAATCTTTTTATGGAGACGTAATTAGTTTTTATGTAACGATAAAATTATTTTACATGTGATCAATGCATATGGTGTTGATTAATAATGGCATATTGATTCCTAAAGGATACATCAAAGTACATTGCGTATTGGTCACTAAAACAAGACAATCAAGGTAATCTTGTTGTCAGCACAAATGTAGAGTAATTTGTTGACCAATATTAAGCGTGTGTGACTGATTATGTTAAGTGATTTCATTAGGACAATTTATTATCTACTTACTTTGTTTCGAGAGTGGTAATTGTTTTGACTATAAATTTTCATTTTTAGCTTTGACAATGGTTGACCAAATAGTACCTTTCAATCTTCAATTAGTTGATTTTAATAAATAAGGTGATAATTTTAATGGTCTAAAATTAAAAGTCTTGCTTCTGAATATCTTTTCATTGTCCATAAATGTATTTGCTTCTCTAATTCAGATTTGCATGGTAGTAATGTAACATTAAAAAGTTGTCCAAATATGGTTGTGGAATTTAAAAATCTGTCAATTTATTATTAACTTTTTTTCCAAAATCATCTTTGTCTAGTAAAATATTGAACAAATGTTTAATAAAATAACTCATCTTATTAATATGAATAATTGACTTTTTTAATGAGAATTTTGTCAAAGCTTTTAGAAAATACGTAAAATGGACTAGATTCAATTTGTGAATGCTAAATTAAATAATTTCCAAGTGTATGAGGGGGTCAATTTTTTTAGAATAGAATAAAAGGAATTTGGTCGAATTTTATTTTTAAAAAATAACTTAAAACTTTCGGGCGGGAAGCAAGCCGGACCCTACAGCGGGCATCTCCCGCAACGCAAGCACCATTGTTCGACACCACCCAAGAAGCAAAAGATTCGTCACTTCAGACTGAAAATACATGCATAGATAGTGGTTTAATGCCAAGGCCGACGACGGAAGCTCGGGACGGAGATAGACTTAGGAAGCATTTTATGAAAGCTAAATAAAAATGTTTCTAAGGGGTTGATTTTTTAAGGGATATTATAAGAAGAATTAATTTAAATAAAATTTGGAAGAATCGTTTTTATGGTTGATCAATAATCAATATCAAGAAAAATTTGTAATATCTTGTGCTATTGGGTTCATTTAATTGTCAAAATTTTCTTTTGTGTTTCGTTAAAAAAGCATTATTTAGAACGATGATTTGATTATTCTTATTTATTATTTGAATCTCAAGTAATCCTAGTATGCCTTTCACCGCCTAAAATCTTAATTGTTTTCATCAAGATTTAATTTTTTTGAATTAATACACAACTAAATATTAAGATATCGTACTAAAATTGCAATACCAAACAATTAAGATTAATTATTTTCAACACGTGAATATATAAAAAATTCCTACTGTTTAGAATTAATAAATATAAAATTAAAATAAAATGCTAAATTATTTAATATTATATTCAAAAACCGTGAAAGAATTATATGACCAATTAAAGGCGATGGTCTAAGCAATGATGGTGGAAGGTTTCGATTGGGATTATAGTAATAATTAATAACAATGGTTTGCAATATATATTTTATAGTTATTGTGGTGATTGTTGTTTTTAATTGGTGATTGTAAATTGTAATGATGGTTATGATCGATGATTGTTAATGGTGACTAATGGTAGTGAGAATTTAATACGGTGATAATGATGATTTGTAGATATTCAGTGATTATAGTTAATAATAATGAATAACGGCAACGAGTCAATGACTATATGAATGAAAATAGAGAAATAGTGATAAAATATACGAAAATTATGACCATGCTTATTTGAATTTATTCAATATCGTTAAGTAGTTGCAAAATTATAAAAAATAAATACACTTAATAATTAGAATATAAATGATTAATATTAAATGTTAATAATCTATTTGATCAATTTTTTGGGAAGTAAAATATATTTATTTTTTAAAAGTGAGGTGTTCAATCAAACTTTTTGGAAAAAAGAAGTGGTAAAAATTGTTTTCCAAAAGCTAAAATAATTATCTTTTTTCTACAATACTTTTTGATAAATAGTTCTAAATACTAATTATTACTTAATTTAAAATGCTTTTAAAATTTATTGGTGCAACACAACAAGCTTTTTTTTCAATGATTTTAAAAATTTAACCAAATGAAAAGAAAAATTACTATTACTATTATTTTAGTTTTATTAAATGATTACTATTTTAGAAATTAGGCCTTGCAATTTTGCACCGAAGAAATGCACATTCTAAATAATTTTTTTCTGATATATCCTAATTTTAGAAAAATGAGTAAAAATTAATCATAAATGAGAAAAATATTAACTTAAACAGTAAAATAAAATAAAATATTAACTTAGATAACAAGCAAAACATGGTTAAAAAAGATTATACAACTTTTCTTCTTCTTCTTTCTTCTCTCTCTATATATATTATATACCACCATTTCAAAACATTGACAATTGAAATGGTTCTTTCTCGTTGTTTTCTCTGTATATATACCACCATTCCAAAATATTGACATACTAAAACATTTTCACCCTATAACAAAATGAAATAATTTGAATTATTTCAATTTGTCTTTTTCCTCAAAATTTCTCTATTTTGCATGTAGTAGATCTTTGTTTTTTGTTTTTTTAGTATATTGTGTTTTAGTATATTGTGTTACACAAATACAATTTGTGTATTAAGATAATACTCGAGAAGGACTATGAGTCATTTTCTTTGAGCAATATTTTATTTTTCAGAAAAAATAATGATCATAAGTTTAGAAATTACTTAAAAAAAAATTATTTACTCTCAAAATTTCACCTATGCGAAATAAATTGGGATTGAGAGAGTAACATATATTACTTAAAAATTATGTAAAAGATTACTATAAATCGAAATAATTAACGACTTAAAATAATTAAAAAATTGATTATCTTCGAAGTTTCACCTATTTCACATAAATTTAAGAGAAGGGTAATAATATTTATTATTTAAAAATTATATTAACTAAGAATACCATAAATCACAATAATTAAAATATTTAAATAAATATATTTAAAAATTGATGAATTATCTAAATATCACGTGTGCACTTATATTCCTAGAAAAATACTTTGAAAAATCTGATACAAATAATTAACGATAAAAAATTATTTAAAAATCTAGTTAACTTTCCTAATCTTGTATAAATTAAAATAAAAATACTATGCGTGGACTTCTGTATCTAGTTTCTTAATTATTTTAAGTAAATATAATTGAGGAGAAAAACGTGTTTTTAAAAATATTAGCTTAAATAGCCAGCAACGCGCTTTTGGTTTAATATCTGCGTATTTTCTTTTTCTTCACTCTCTATATATATCAAACGGCTCTTCTTCTTCTGTGTCCGTCGTCGATATTCTTTGGGGCTTTCGATGCATTGTCCTTTGTAAGTTTTGTAAGTTCTCTTTTTGATTACTTGCAATTTCTCTTTGTTGAATCCAGAAAACTGAATGTGCGAATGATCGTTCTTGGTATTAATTAGTACACATAGTCTACATTACTACATAAGCATATGAAACAATTTTGGCTGAAATCAGGTTTTTGATAGCAAGAATATGTAGATTAACATTACTATGAGTCCAAGAAAAGTGGCATAACGTAGATAAACACTACTATGAGAAAAAAAAAGAAAAAAAGATTGAGACCTGGAAGCGGTTCTTGATAAAAAGAATTTGTTTTCATAGACTATAACAACACATTCTTCAACTTTCTTCAAAACTTTATTTTGTTTAGAGCTTGATTTTGGTACATTACAATGTCTCAGAAGAAAGGCCACATAGGCTATTGCATGGGAAATAGGGATGTGGTCAAGGTGAGGATTGACATTTATAGATGCTACACTTAATACTGTCAATTTCATGAAAGTAGAGCTTTTACTAAATACCACTTTATTCCTACTTCATATTTTTTGATATTTTAAGTGTTCAATCTTGATCAAATATGCGAACCAGGAAAAGAAAGTACACCTTTTCTCAAGAGCTCTGATTTTGGAAAGTCAGCATTTGACACTAATCAGAAAGGAAGTAGAATAACATCATGTATTGCAACTCTAGAGAATGATATCACAGGACCCGGTGATGGAAAAATTCAATTCATCTGTGGAATATAATGCAGGCTTGTAAAGATAAAAGCCAGGAGGACTTGAGGTTTTAGGACTACCAGTTAGGTGATAAAGGTATTTTTAATTTGTTCTCTTCTATAATCTATATGTTCCATATTTATCTGAAATCCTTGTTGAGCTTTTATTAAATACTACTAAGTACTATTTATTCCTACTTCATATTTTTGGATATCTTAACTGTTCAATCTTGATCAAATTTGCAAACTAGGAAAAGAAAGTACAACACCCTCTGCTCAAGAGATCTAGTCTTGGGAAGTCCGCATTTAGTATTAATCTGAAAGGAAGTAGAACAACATTATTTATTGCAACTCCAGAGATAGATTGCACAGGATCGGAGGTGGACAAGTTCAATCCATTAGTGGAATGCAGTCTTATCAAGAAAAAATCCAGAGGGAGTTGAGGTTTGAGGACGACAGTTAGGTAATAAAGGTGTATGTAACTCGATTTCTTGTCTGTAGATATCAAAGAAATCTACCTTGCATTCAATTAACACTTTTTATACTTCATGGTGGGTGAATTGGCAGGTCAGAAAGGTTAGTGTTCATTTAGTGTTTCCAATACACAGGGAGTGTCATCGACAACACTCTAGGCCTTTCATATCACTTGTATTTAACCAATCAACTGTTGATCAACCTTGTTATCCTCATTTTAAATACATTTAATGTGGAAAGAACAGGGCTTGACATAATAAAATGATAAATTCTACAGCAACTGCATCTACCCATTTCCGAAGTCATAACAGTTCATTTTCCATATATTTCCCCCAATACATTATTGATAAACTCTTTTGCGTTGCATTGTACATTATCCTTATGTGCTTGTGAAAGACATGATGCTTTTTGGATGAAGTGTACATATGGAGAAGTGAGAACCTTGTGAGATAATTTGATGTCTGTTCGGTGTGCTTTGTGACGTTGGTACCTTTGCCTTTGGTGCCTAGATTGTTCTTTTTTTAATTTTGTCTGGTCTTTTTCTCTAAAAACATTTTCTTGCTACTTGTTTCAGCATCCTTGGCATACTCGTATCGGTAACCTTAACATCTTTGACGCACGTTTGTGATAACTATATCCATGTGCTTTTGCTTCGTTTATCACTTTGGTCTTCGAGTGCAACAAACTGTGTTTTGACGCTTCTTTTCTCTTGATCACATATGGCTTAACGTTCTTTTTGTTCTTTCTTTTGGGGCATGCTTTTGTAGGGTGCACAGCAGCTTTGGATGCTGAACATTACTTGCAAGAAATCGGTGCCCTAGAGGGGTCTGTCTCTTCTTTTTCTTGCCCCTGTTATCCTTTATTTGTACTTTCTCATGCACCAGCTATACCTTATCATATTTGCAGGTTTTACTTTCCGAGAATCATGGAAGTGAATCCATCACCAGTTACGCCTCCTGCTGAAACACTACCTTCAGTCCAAATCTTGGTAGAGCACCCAAATTTGGCAACATCCATCCAGTACGGAGTTTCTAATTTACCTGTGAGTTCACATTTCTGCATAATTAATGTTGCTCCTGGATGTGTTCATTGGTCTTAATCAAGTATCATACTCACTGGAAGTTACATGATGTTTTGGAATGCCTCATTACTATTGCTATAAATTTTAAAATTTTAATCTCAGGAACAGATCTCAGAGATTAAAGTTTCAAGGTTAGCAAAACTAAAACAAAGTATTCCCCGTGTAACTTCAATGACGCAACACTTGAGGCAGAGGTGGATAGAACTTACTCTTGATGCCACAATGGAGACATGGACCTTGTCTACCCATAAGATCTGATTATGAATTATTCAGTTCAAATCAGATAGAATTTGCTGCTGCTTACTTTTAGAGTTCGATTTGCTCTCAAAATCTAAAATGCTTGAGTGAGGTGACGGGTCAGTATATATATAGATAGATAAGAATTAGGTAGACTATATCTGGTCCTTTATATGGAAATATATATTAATAATGACAGATTTTTCATTAACTTTTGTGTATTCTGAATTTTTCTTTTTCCCCTGTGACAGCTCATCAACTTTGATTACAGTAATTTCTGAACAATTTACACTATTAACTCCAATGAGAGAAGAGTCTTAGATTCTCTATCAAATGAAAAGGGGGTGGGAATTTGAGGCTTGGTGTGGGTGGGGTGAAGCTGGATTTGGTGAATTTTCATAATTTTTGGCCTTTAATCTAGTGGTTGCTTATTAAGCAATGAATCTTAGGTCAAGGAAGTGTTGAACAGTTTCAAGATGATAATGCAAATATCTAAGAGTGAGAGTTTTCAAATAATAAGGACATATGTTCTATGTTTCTCGGACTCTTCAAAAATGTCAATGAGTGCGTGTTGGATTCGCTTTAAGTAGTGTATTTTTGAGAATCCGGCATGGGTGCAACATCAATAGTGAAGAGTCTGTGCAGATCTGGAAAAGAATGGCTACATTCAATTTCTTTCCAACAATGCTTTTTTACATCCATTTCTGCTTGCACTAGTACATTAATTAAAATCAACCGATTTTCCTAAATATAAGATGGTCTCGTTAATACTCTGCAGGTGAGAGATGAAGTCCGTACAGGTGGCTTTGTGACTGATGATTGGATTAGTTTCTTATTTGGTGAGTATGCCTCAACTTGTGAATTAAATTGAGTAGATACATGGATTAGCATAGTGCTGGCTCCTTGATTCTGATTTTCTGGTGCAACCGAAAACCACAGTACTGTGTGGTTAGCAAAGTCTCAAGCTTCTGAAGGCAATGCTGGCCCAGTAATAAAGGATTTTAAAAAGAACAAAGACATTTGTTTGCTTATCAAAATTGTTTTCTAGAAGAACAAACAAACATTTTCAAAAGAAAACAAGACCAAAAAAACTTTTGTGTTGACTCTCTTCTTGTAAATTAATTTACTGTTTGATCACCTTCTACTCCAGAAAGAAATGAAAAGTAAATCAGTCTCCAAAACCTTCCTATAGACTGTTTCAACACACCTTAATGAGTTGCCAAATCATGAATGTTCTTATGTTTTGGTTGGCAGTTTTAATGCCACTTTAAGAGGTCTTTATCTCAACATTAGTCCTGAAAACGATTTTTTTTTTCTTGAAATGCAGATATCCTATTATGGTCTTCGTGACCGTTTTATTGTTTAATCGACTAGGTTATGAATGTTTCCTTTTTTTGGTTGAGAGTTTCCCTGCTACTGAGATGCAGCAATGACACTTATTTTTTCCATCTTACCATGCTTGCACATTTATATGCCACCATTGACAGAATTTCATGTATTTATCCTTTTATGGCAATAGAGGTATCGAGGAAGATAAGGAGCCCAACATCTATTCAACTAATTTTTTGCCCCTAATCTTTCTAATCGGAACTTTACTCAAGATTCCCTATTGAAATTTTTTTAATTCAAGATTCAGTATCCAAGATTGGGGAATCTCGTTTCAAGACAATTTAGGAGAACCCAAGAACTCTCTCATATAAATATGTCAAGTAGAAATTTCTAATTCAAGCAAGAATATTACTGCAATTATCTTTTGATAGTGGTATTTTGTTCAGTGTTTATTTGATGGTGTGGAGTATGCTAAGTTCTTTATTAGAGGATGCAGCTATTAGGTTAATTTGCTGCTTTCCTGGTTAGAGAAAAGGTGGTTTAGAAGGAATAATGTTTTCTGCCTCAGTTCCAATATTTTCATTTTGGATAGCCACGTGATCCATTATACTATTATTTATTCTGAAACAAAGTACAATGCAAGACAGTGAAGTTGCAATGAAAAGCATATGTAAGTCAAATGGCCTTTGACATGTCATAATGTAATTCTACCACGAGGTCCACAAAAACTAACAAACTTGTAGGTAAGCACATGGTGATAAACATTGGAATTAACATATTAAATGCACCCAAAAAGTAGAATTTTACATATCTAAATTCATGGAAATTCCATCCAATAAAATGGAACCTTCCCAGGACCCCCCCCTGCACATAGCGAGAGTTTTAGTTCACCAGGCGGCCCTATTGAATCTTATTCATGCACCTCAAAATTCACTTAGAGATATGGATTTTCTACAGGAACATTCATTGAGCGACAAGCATTATTTTCTGCTATTGGAAATAGAGACATTGAGTGTTTTGTAGTAGTAGTTAGTGATATGAGCAGCATACCTCCAAGACCAATTTCATTAGGAGGAATGTATTTGTTCCTTGCTTAAATTAGAGTAGCATCTTCACCACCGTCTGGTATGTTTCCAAATTCTGGTTCCTGTAGAATGTTATAAAGTTGCCTCTGGAGTCTTTCGACAGGTGCCAAAATGTGTTGTGTAAGCCCTGATCTCTTTCTTTTTGGGACACTGTTAGGATTCCAGATAGGATCTTTGTCTGCTTCTCCCATCAAAAGGTAAATATTAGTGCACATAAAACAATAATGTATTAATACAATAGAATTTATTTTGGTCAAGCTAGTTTTATTTGTATGGTTAAAGTATAGTTGGACTAGTCAGTTCATATCTTTATTGAAAATCCTCGATTTAGTTCATTGTGTAAAGGAAAGTTAGATCTCAAAATTTAGGATAGACACTATAATAAATGATCATTTAGCAAGAAAGAGAACAAAGATTGTGCTTGTAGAGTATGTAGAGTACGTAGAGTATCATATAATAGTTACTTTCCTACGGCTTATTTGGTAAAATCCTGAATGTGATTTGACATTACATAATTTGACAAGCACATCACAGTAAACGGACAATGATAGGAATTTCTTGCATAAAAATAAATTCATGTCTCGTGAATCTTGATAGATGCTTATCAAGTTTTCTTAGAGCTTATGGTGTAAATGATTCTTTTGAATATTAGATACCAACATAAAACAACCACTTAGACAATGGAAGAATGCTGAAAAAATTTTCCGTCTCACGGTTAAATTGTTGTGTATGTTCTGTAGATTCTCTTCCACTGTTTTCCGCTCCTTTTTTGGGGGTGATTCAAATTTATCCATTTTCAATCAATAGAATAAGAGAAGTTTGTATTTGTAATCAATAGTATTATTGGGTTAACTGTTTCTTTTTTTTCTTAGAATTACTTTATGGTAAGGTGCATCTACAATGATTTGGTTGTTGTCTTTCACCTATCTCATAATTTCTTTGTGACTAAGGGCTCATTTGGTACAAAAGATAAGGCATAACTAGTCTTGGGATTAATTTTAGGATGAGCTTATCCCATGTTTAGTAGGGATAAGATCTAACTTATCCCCGTGGTAGTTATCCAGGGATTTAGTGTTATTTTTATTCCACATTGAGGGTGGGATAACAATCCCGTGGTAACTCGTTCCCAGCCAAACGTGCTCCTAAGAGTTTTGCAATTACTATCATGCAAAATTGAAGAAAGAAATTGGCCAGAAATTAAGCAGAAAGATATTAGTTTCCACTTTCTTAATACTTGAATGCTTAAGAAAGGATTTTATTAGAACATGCATCATATTTGCTGAGACAAGTTAAGTGCTCTCTGTTTCTGGAAGTATTTTACCATTTGTTTCTTCCATCTGCATGCTCTGTTTTTCTCTGTTTGCATGTCTAGGAATATAGTTCTGTAGTGTCCCCATAACGCGCCACCTTGTTTCACAAGCATTCCAGACACTGGTTTTTTTCATGTGGCCCAGGTCTCCAATGGGGGATTTCTGTTTGAGTTCAAAATTAATTAGTGTTTAAACTAAAGCACAATGATCATTGACAAATTTAGAGTTGTCAATATAAGTTAGGCTCGTTGGGCTAGTCTAGCCCAATCCGTGATTTGATTGGTTATGGCTATGAGTCCGGTGAATCATATCGGCTCGAAGACGCAAAATTACAAGGTGAAAATGAAAAGTCAATAAAGATGAAGGGGTAAAAAGAGAGAAAGAGAAGAAATGGGGGGTATTTAGTGTTTCTGCACGCGAGTCTTCAAAATGTATTTGTTGATCATCAGGTACATAAATCTTAAGCATAATGAATCAAGTGTCCCGTAAAGCATGAGACTATTGATAAACATAAAAGACAAGATATAAGCAGTCAATATAACTTATGCTTGATGCCACAATGGAGACATACACCTTGTCTACCCATAAGATTTGATAATGAATTATTCAGTTCAAATCAATTTAAATTTGTTGATGCTAACTGTTAGAGTTCGATTTGCTCTCAAAATCTAAAATGTCTGAGTATGGTGATGGTTTACAGTTTATATAGACAAATAAGAATTGGGTAGACTATTGTTGGTCCGTTTATGAAAACTAGTTTTTCGACACGTGTGTTACACGTGATTACCAATTCAAAAAATATACGTTATAGTAAATAGTATTTGTTTATTTAAGCGAAGATTTGAATAATAAAATTTTCACAAAATAAAATTGTAGATTTTTTTGTGAATGTGTAATGTGGATCATCATATATACCTCTTATTCACGTGAACCCATAAAGATGGTAATTTTATTAGTTAAATGCATATATTTATTTCAATTTGTTGAGGTTCAATCATGTAATTGGTTGTATCTCAATAATATTACCTTATAGACGCTATCTATTGTATATTTTTTCTTGTTATCTAATCAAATGGTTGTCAAAATATTAAATAATTGGGAACTAAATGTGCATGGATGGTAGGAATTGGGACCAAATCCAAAATTTATCCTAAATGACAGCAGTTCATGTCGGACTGATGGTAGATGTACTGAAAATTAATTAACATTTGGCTCGACAGATGAGAAAATTATTGTACTCTAAATTTTACTTTTTAACATATTCACCATTTTATGGATATTTGGGTATTTAGTGTTTCTACACGTGAGTCTTCAAAATGTATTTGCTGATCATCAGGTACATAAATCTTAAGCATAACTGAATCAAGTGTCCCGTAAAGCATGAGACTATTGATAAACATAAAAGACGGGATATAAGCGGTCAATATAACTTATGCTTGATGCCACAATGGAGACATAGACCTTGTCTACCCATAAGATTTGATAATGAATTATTCAGTTCAAATCAATTTAAATTTGTTGATGCTAACTGTTAGAGTTCGATTTGCTCTCAAAATCTAAAATGTATGAGTAAGGTGATGGGTCACAGTTTATATAGACAAATAAGAATTTGGTAGACTATTGTTGGTCCTTTTATGAAAACTAGTTTTTAGACACATGTGTTGCACGTGATTACTAATTCAAAAAGTATACGTTATAGTAAATAGTATTTGTTTATTTCAGTGAAGATTTGAATAATAAATTTTTCACAAAATAAAATTGTAGATTTTTTTGTGAATGTGCAATGTGGATCATCATATATATCTCTTATTCACGCGAACCCATAAAGATAGTAATTTTATTACTTAAATACATATATTTATTTCAATTTGTTGAGGTTCAATCATGTAATTGGTTGTATCTCAATAATATTACCTTATAGACGCTATGTATTGTATATTTTTTCTTGTTATCTAATCAAATGGTTGTCAAAAGATTAAATAATTGGGAACTAAATGTGCATGGATGGTAGGAATTGGGGACCAAATCCAAAATTTATCCCAAATGACAGCAGTTCATGTCGGACTGATGGTAGATGTACTGAAAATTAATTAACATTTGGCTCGACAGATGAGAAAATTATTGTACTCTATATTTTACTTTTTAACGTATTCACCATTTTATGGATATTTGGGTATTTAGTGTTTCGGCACGTGAGTCTTCAAAATGTATTTGCTGATCATCAAGTACATAAATCTTAAGCATAACTGAATCAAGTGTCCCGTAAAGCATGAGACTATTGATAAACATAGAAGACGGGATATAAGCGGTGAATATAACTTATGCTTGATGCCACAATGGAGACATAGACCTTGTCTACCCACAAGATCTGATAATGAATTATTCAGTTCAAATCAATTTAAATTTGTTGATGCTAACTGTTAGAGTTCGATTTGTTCTCAAAATCTAAAATGTATGAGTAAGGTGATGGGTCACAGTTTATATAGAGAAATAAGAATTCTGTAGACTATTGTTTGTCTGTTTATGAAAACTAGTTTTTCGACACGTGTGTTGCACGTGATTACCAATTCAAAAAATACACGATATAGTAAATAGTATTTTTTTATTTAAGTGAAGATTTGAAAAATAAATTTTTCACAAAATAAAATTGTAGATTTTTTTGTGAATGTGCAATCTGGATCATCATATATACCTCTTATTCACGCGAACCCATAAAGATGGTAATTTTATTAGTTAAATGCATATATTTATTTCTAATTGTTGAGGTTCAATCATGTAATTGGTTGTATCTTAATAATATTACCTTATAGACGATATGTGTTGTATATTTTTTCTTGTTATCTAATCAAATGGTTGTCAAAAGATTAAATAATTGGTAACTAAATGTGCATGGATGGTAGAAATTGGGGACCAAATCCAAAATTTATCCTAAATGACAGAAGTTCATGTTGGACAGATGGTAGATGTATTGAAAATTAATTAACATTTGGCTCGACAGATGAGAAAAATATTGTACTCTATATTTTACTTTTTAACGGATTCACCATTTTATGGATATTTGGGTATTTAGTGTTTCTACACGTGAGTCTTCAAAATGTATTTGCTGATCATCAGGTACATAAATCTTAAGCATAACTGAATCAAGTGTCCCGTAAAGCATGAGACTATTGATAAACATAAAAGACGGGATATAAGCGGTGAATATAGCTTATGCTTGATGCCACAATAGAGACATAGACCTTGTCTACCCATAAGATCTAATAATGAATTATTCAGTTCAAATCAATTTAAATTTGTTGATGCTAACCGTTAGAGTTCGATTTGCTCTCAAAATCTAAAATGTCTTAGTAAGGTGATGGGTCACAGTTTATATAGACAAATAAGAATTGGGTAGACTATTGTTGGTCCTTTTATGAAAACTAGTTTTTCGACACGTGTGTTGCACGTGATTACCAATTCAAAAAATATATGTTATAGTAAATAGTATTTGTTTATTTAAGTAAAGATTTGAATAATAAATTTTCCACAAAATAAAATTGTAGATTTTTTTGTGAATGTGCAATGTGGATCATCATATATACCTCTTATGCACGCGAACCCATAAAGATGATATTTTTATTAGTTAAATGCATATATCTATTTCAATTTGTTGAGGTTCAATCATGTAATTGGTTGTATCTCAATAATATTACATTATAGACTATATGTATTGTATATTTTTTCTTGTTATCTAATCAAATGGTTGTCAAAAGATTAAATGATTGGTAACTAAATGTACATGGATGGTAGGAATTGGGGACCCATTCCAAAATTTATCCTAAATGACAGCAGTTCATGTCGGACTGATGGTAGATGTACTGAAAATTAATTAACATTTGGCTCGACAGATGAGAAAATTATTGTACTCTATATTTTACTTTTTAACGGATTCACCATTTTATGGATATTTGGGTATTTATGCACGTGAGTCTTCAAAATGTATTTGCTGATCATCAGGTACATAAATCTTTAGCATAACTGAATCAAGTGTCCCGTGAAGCATGAGACTATTAATAAAAATAAAAGACGGGATATAAGCGGTGAATAGAACTTATTCTTGATGCCACAATGGTGACATAGACTTTGTCTACCCATAAGATCTGATAATGAATTATTCAATTCAAATCAATTAAAATTTGTTGATGCTAACCGTTAGAGTTTGATTTGCTCTCAAAATTTAAAATGTCTGAGTAAGGTGATGGGTCACAGTTTATATAGACAAATAAGAATTCGGTAGACTATTGTTGGTCTGTTTATGAAAACTAGTTTTTCGACACGTGTGTTGCACGTGATTACCAATTCAAAAAATACAAGTTATAGTAAATAGTATTTTTTTATTTAAGTGAAGATTTGAATAATAAATTTTTCACAAAATAAAATTGTAGATTTTTTTGTGAATGTGCAATGTGGATCATCATATATACCTCTTATTCACGCGAACCCATGAAGATGGTAATTTTATTAGTTAAATGCATATATTTATTTCAAATTGTTGAGGTTCAATCATGTAATTGGTTGTATCTCAATAATATTACCTTATAGACGATATGTATTGTATATTTTTTCTTGTTATCTAATCGAATGGTTGTTAAAAGATTAATTAATTGGTAACTAAATGTGCATGGATGGTAGAAATTGGGGACCAAATCCAAAATTTATCCTAAATGACAGCAGTTCGTGTTGGACAGATGGTAGATGTACTGAAAATTAATTAACATTTGGCTCGACAGATGAGAAAATTATTGTACTCTATATTTTACTTTTTAACGGATTCACCATTTTATGGATATTTGGGTATTTAGTGTTTCTACACGTGAGTCTTCAAAATGTATTTGCTGATCATCAGGTACATAAATCTTAAGCATAACTGAATCAAGTGTCCCGTAAAGCATGAGGCTATTGATAAACATAAAAGACGGGATATAAGCGGTGAATATAGCTTATGCTTGATGCCACAATTGAGACATAGACCTTGTCTACCCATAAGATCTGATAATGAATTATTCAGTTCAAATCAATTTAAATTTGTGGATGCTAACCGTTAGAGTTCGATTTGCTCTCAAAATCAATAATGTCTGAGTAAGGTGATGGGTCGCAGTTTATATAGACAAATAAGAATTCGGTAGACTATTGTTGGTCCTTTTATGAAAACTAGTTTTTCGACACGTGTGTTGCACGTGATTACCAATTCAAAAAATATATGTTATAATAAATAGTATTTGTTTATTTAAGTAAAGATTTGAATAATAAATTTTCCACAAAATAAAATTGTAGATTTTTTTGTGAATGTGCAATGTGGATCATCATATATACCTCTTATGCACGCGAACCCATAAAAATGGTATTTTTATTAGTTAAATGCATATATCTATTTCAATTTGTTGAGGTTCAATCATGTAATTGGTTGTATCTCAATAATATTACCTTATAGACTATATGTATTGTATATTTTTTCTTCTTATCTAATCAAATGGTTGTCAAAAGATTAAATGATTGGTAACTAAATGTGCATGGATGGTAAGAATTGGGGACCAAATCCTATATTTAGCCTAAATGACAGCAGTTCATGTCGGACTGATGGTAGATGTACTGAAAATTAATTAACATTTGGCTCGACAGATGAGAAAATATTGTACTCTATATTTTACTTTTTAACGGATTCACCATTTTAAGGATATTTGGGTATTTAGTGTTTCTGCACGTGAGTCTTCAAAATGTATTTGTTGATCATCAGGTACATAAATCTTAAGCATAACTGAATCAAGTGTCCCGTAAAGCATGAGACTATTGATGAACATAAAAGACGGGATATAAGCGGTGAATAGAACTTATTCTTGATGCCACAATAGAGGCATAGACCTTGTCTACCCATAAGATCTGATAATGAATTATTCAATTAAAATTTGTTGATGCTAACCGTTAGAGTTTGATTTGCTCTCAAAATTTAAAATGTCTGAGTAAGGTGATGGGTCACAGTTTATATAGACAAATAAGAATTCGGTAGACTATTATTGGTCCTTTTATGAAAACTAGTTTTTCGACACGTGTGTTGCACGTGATTACCAATTCAAAAAATATACGTTATAGTAAATAGTATTTGTTTATTCAAGTAAAGATTTGGATAATAAATTTTCCACAAAATAAAATTGTAAATTTTTTTGTGAATGTGCAATGTGGATCATCATATATACCTCTTATTCACACGAACTCATAAAGATGGTATTTTTATTTGTTAAATGAATATATCTATTTCAATTTGTTGAGGTTCAATCATGTAACTGGTTGTATCTCAATAATATTATCTTATAGACGGTATGTATTGTATATTTTTTCTTGTTTTCTAATCAAATAGTTGTCAAAAGATTAAATAATTGGTAACTAAATGTGCATGGATGGTAGGATTTTGGGACCAAATCCAAAATTTATCCTAAATGACAGCAGTTCATGTTGGACTGATGGTAGATGTACTGAAAATTAATTAACATTTGGCTCGACAGATGAGAAAATTATTGTACTCTATATTTTATTTTTTAACATATTCACCATTTTATGGATATTTGGGTATTTAGGGCCCGTTTGGATGTGCTTAATAAAAGCAGCTTTAAAAAAGTACTTTTGAAAGTGCTGAAACTTATTTTTAAAATAAGCAGTTATGCGTTTGGATAATAGTATTTGTTTATTTAAGTAAAGATTTGAATAATAAATTTTCCACAAAACAAAATTGTAGTTTTTTTGTGAATGTGCAATGTGGATCATCATATATACCTCTTATTCACGCGAACCCATAAAGATGGTATTTTTATTAGTTAAGTGCATATATCTATTTCAATTTGTTGAGGTCCAATCATGTAATTGGTTGTATCTCAATAATATTACCTTATAGACGATATGTATTGTATATTTATTTATGTATATTAACAAATAAATAGGACTTTTAATTAATTTAGTATAGGGACAAAAAGTTAAGTATTCGATAAAATGAAAATGTAATTTTTAAATGATTCACATATTTTCACATTTGTTGTGAGTTTTTTTTTTAAAAAATAAACTCGGAACAATTTAAAATAATATATTTTGAAGTTTGAAGATCTTGTTGACTTGATAATAAATTTGTGATATATATAAAATACTTTGATTGAAATACAAAAATCTACCCAGAGAAAAATTCAACTCCTTCATTTGATGTTAAAAGAATAATAAATGGAAATACAAACAAGAAATATTTTATCCCAATCATGTTCCTTTTTGTATTTTTTATTGTTATTATTGTCTCGCCCACATCTTCATCTATTTATTTTATGAAAAAAATTAAACAATGTGTATATTTAAAGTCTCTGTCAAATGAAAACACAAGAAATTATTCAAAAAATAAATAAATAAATTAAAGTTTCAGCGCACTTTATATAGAAGATTTATGTGTGAAGCAAAGTTCATAGTCAATACCTAAATTTCAATGCTAAAAACTTCGGCGAAATATATCAATGGATTGGGAATAAATTATTTATAAATTTTTTAAATGATCTCAAATTGTCACACAAAAGAGATCCCCAAGAATTTATAAGGAATGAATGGTTGTGATTTATTATTGAAGAAATATGAAGGTAGAAATTGTTGTGACTATTCACAGGAAATTAGTCTTTTTTAATGAATAAATCATGTAGGTTAATTAAAGAGTATTAATGTCCTAAAATTATTTAAATAATATTGATGTATGTACGTGATGAAAATCGTCGGAGGAAAATATGAGTGTGAATTGATGAATGATTTGCTATAATTTGTTCACCAACACTTTCTTATGTTGTACCTCGAATTTTGTTGGTTTTCGAACTTAATCAACAATTGCAACTAATAGTTGAGATTTTAAGAAGAAAAAGAAGAGTATAAACCCTAAAAAAATTGTAGTTTAAAGGTCTGAAGAAATTCCTCGAATAAGTCACAACTCTTCAAAAAAGTCACTGCTCATCAGTAAAGTCTTATCCCTTTGAAAAATTCAAAACTCATCGGATAAGACACAACACTTTGGTAACGTCACAACTCTTTGAAAATGTCATAGCCTTTGAAAAAGTCACTACTCAGCAGAAATGTCACAACTCGTTAAAAAAGTCACAACCATTTGAAAAAGACACAACTCATCGCAAAAGTCACAATTTGTTTATGTGAAAAAGGTATAAACTTTTATTATAACATGATTAAATAAATTGAGTATTTTTAATTTAGGGGTATTATAGTAATTCAACATTCATGCTTGACTATTTATAGATAATCACACATTTCTTTGTTCTCTTCTTTTCTTCTTTAATTGAAAGTCAATACCTAAATTATAATGCTTAGTTCGGCGAAACATATCAATGCATTGGAGATGAATAAGTCACCGAAAAGAGAACCCCAAGAATTTATAAATGGTTGTGAATTATGGCTGAAGAAACATGAAGGTAGAAACTGTTGTGACTATTCGTAGGAAATTAGTCTTTCTTTTTTAATAAAGGGAAAAGGGTCTGATATACCCCTCAACTTTGTCATTTGGAGCTAATATACCTCCCGTTATAAAAGTGGCTCATATATGCCCTTACCGTTATACAAACGGCTCACATATACCCCTCCCGTTACAAAATGGCTCATATATACCCTTCATTTAACGGGAGTTAAAAAATTAGTTTAAAATTTATATTTATTACTTGTAATTTTTTTTAAAAAATTATTTAGGGGTATATATGATTCTTCTATCAAAGTTCAAGGTATATTTTAATTTTTTTCATATATACATTATTTTTTGACTTTTTTTAATATAATTATTTGAGTTTCTTATTCTTATGTTTTTTCTTTCATTCCTTAGTTCAAAGAAAACAAATTTAAACTAATTTTTTTGTGTGTATTGTAATTTAATTTCGTATTCGAAGAAAAAATTTGGTCATCTACAATAAGTTTTACAAGATATTAGTGAAAGATAAATAAATATGATTATCAAAATAATAATTATAAATTAGTCATTGAAACAAAAAAAGGTCAAAAAAAATATGTTTGACGAGGATTAAATTTACTCATATGGGATTATATTTTTTAGAAAAAAATAATAAAAATTTAGATTAAAATTATTATTTTTTCCATTTCCGTTAGAGGAAAAGAGTATATGTGAGCCATTTGTTTACAAGTAGGGGTATATATGAGCCACTTTCATAACAAGGGGTATATCAGCTCTAAATGACAAAGTTGAGGGGTATATCAGACCATTTTCCCTTTAATGAATAAAACATGTAGGTTATTTTAAAGAGTATTAATGTTCTAAAATTATACAAATAATATTGATGTATGTATGTGATGAAAATCATCAGAGGAAAATATGAGTAAATTGATGAATGATTTGCTACAATTTGTTCATCAACTCTTTCTTGTGTGGTACCTTGAATTTCGTTAGTTTTGACAGCAGCAGCAGTTTTAGAACAATTTATTGACATACCCTTGGTGTAGTATCCACATGAGGTGGAAAGAGTCTATTTTCACATGCATTTGCTTTTCCATCCTCATTTCCAGTAGTTTCATTTTGCATAGCCACATGATCTAGTACATTGTTGTTTCTCCTTAGACAAGTACAATGCAAGACATTACAGTTGTAATGTCAAGCACATGTAAGTCAAATGGCTTTTGTGATGTTACAATTTTAGTCTACCGTGGACTCCACACAAACTGACAAACTTATAGGTTAGCACGCAGGATAGACTTCGGATTTGACATATTAAATGCATCCAAAAATCAGAATTGACAAGTTTAAAAATTCCATCCAATAAAACGGAAGAAACTAAAAATATCCAGAGTAAGACAAACTAGATGGTCTCAAAACACCCAGACTGTTGCGCGTTGGGAAATCCGTAATGTTGGAACAGCCCAAATTGTATTTAGCCAACATTGCACTAGCTAGACAATCAGAGCTGACTTCACATACCAACATGAGTGATATTCATGCATCTAAAAATTCACTTATAGATGAATTTTATTTAGAAACATCCATTGAAAAAGAGACAGTATCTTCTGCCATTGCTGATAGAGACGTCGAGCGTTCTGTAGTAGTAGTTGGTGTTACAAGCAGCATAGCTCCAAGACCGATCTCATTAGGAGGAATGTATTTGTTCCTTGCATAAATTAGAGTAACAAGTTCATCTTCGTCAGATATAATTTCAAAGTCTGGTGCCTGGAGATTGTTATCAAGTGTCCTCTTGAGTATTTGAGCAGGTGACAAAATGCTTTGTGTAAGCTTTGATCTCTTTCTTCTTGGGGCACTGTATGGATTCAAGTGAGGATCTTTGTCTGCTTCTCCCAAAAAAGGTGAACGTTAGTGTACATAAAACAAATAGATACGAATATAATAGATCCTTTTTTTGCGTGAGCGGGTGTGAGGTAAGCAGTTACAAAAATTTGTTTAGTTAAAGATATTAGCTTTGCACTTTCTTATAACCCTTACGCTTAAGAAAGGATTTGATTCAGGACATAGACTCCAAGATAAACCTTTGGAGGTCCCTTCAGGGAATCTAAACTCCTTTCCGGTGGTAAACTGGAAGGCTGAACTCCTTAACAAAGACAGCGGGGGATGGGGTGCTGGGGCTATTAGAGATTTGGAAGTCTTCTGAAGTCGTTGTGGAGGTACATTGAGGATGGAAATGCTTTCTGGAAAGAGGTGATTAAAGCCGAGTATGGTTAGCTAACCCCATGGTGTACAGAGAACACAGTTGAACCTTACAGGGTGTGGGAGTATGGAGAACAATCAGTAGTTTGTGGCCTCAAATGAAGGCAGACTTATATATCGAAGTGAGAAATGATAGTAAAGCAAGAGGTGAGAAAATGTGCATCTATGCTAGGGATTGGGAACCAAATCTACAATTTATTAACATTTGGCTCGAGAGGTGAGAAAATTCAAGTATGCTATGTTTTATGTTTAACAGATCGGCAATTTAGGGGAATTTGTTTAGTTAGTTTTTCAGGCATGTGAGCCTTCAAATTTTATTTCCTTAACATCAGACACATAAATTCTAAGCATCACTGAATCAATCATCCTGTAAAGCATGAGATTATTGATAAACATAAAAGGTGGGATATAGGTGGTTAATAGAACTTACGCTCGGTGCCGCAATGGCAACATGGTCCTTGTTTATCCATAAAATCTGGTTCTGAACGATTCCTGTTTTAATCAGGTTGAATGTACTGCTGCTAACTTTAGAGATGGATTTGGTTTCAAAATCTAGAATGTCTAACTGAGGTGACGGATAAAATATATAGACAGATAAGAATTCAGTAGACTACAGCTGGTCATCTATTTATGGAAAAATATTAATCATAATAGAGGGTCATGAACTTTGATCTATTCTGAATCCCCTTGTGTGACAGCTCATCAATTTTGATTAATGTAATTTCTCAACTATTGAAAATAGAACTGGGGTGGGGATTTGGGGGTTGACTGGATGGGGTGAATGATGGATTTGGTGGAGTCGAATATATAAATCATCATAATTTTAGGACTTTAGTCTAGTTGTGAAGGCTTGCTAAGCAACGATTCTTAACGCAAGGTGGTGTTAAATATTTACAGTATGATTATTAAGAGTGAACAAAGAAGAGAGTGTCCAAATAACCAAGTGAAAAGAAAATCAGTTGCCAAAAACTTCCCAATTGACTGTTTGAACACACCTTAGTGGGCTTCCAAATTATGAATGTTCTCATGTTTTTTCTTGGCACTTTTATTGTCAATTTAAGAGGTCCTTATCTGTTAGTCCTGAATACTCGACGCGCAATATTTCGGTAAGATGATATTGACTTATCTAAACAATATTTCCTTGTTCTTGAGATGCAGATAATCTATTACGGTCTTGGCAACCTTTTTATTGTTTAATGGACTCAGATATGGATGTTTCCTTTTCCAGGCGAGTCCTGCTACTGCGATGCTGCAGCGGCACTTATTTTTTCTATCTTACTATGCTTGCACATTTATCTGTCGCTATTGACAGAATTTCGTGTATCTAAACAGATGTATTTTTCTTTATGTCATTCTTGCTGACTTTCAATTAACAACCACTATCATGCCTCACGTCAAGCTAGTTGGGGCGACTCTATGAATCTTCATTATCTTTTTTCATTTAAGATCATGCTTAGTGATGTAAAAGTACTTCTTTTGTATTCAAGATTACTAATATATTACACATGCATAATAGTTATGGAATATCACTGGCTTTATGTACTCTGTTATCTACTGCTCTGTGATACCAAAAATGTGTTTTGACCTGGGAAGAGGAGAAGATTGCTGTTGTGTGCATATTCTTTGTTGTATCCATCTAGTGACATGAGTTGTGACATATCAGGTGTCTCCTTGCCAGTTCTCTCTTTTTAACATCCTATCCAACATGACTTGAAAACGTTTGAATATACTATAGATAGGATTGTGTTTGACAATTTGATACTTGTAATAATGGTATTTCCCTTGCTTGCTGGTTTACTAGAATATGAAGTAGGTACGGTATATTAGATACATGAGGGAGTCCTTTGCCCCAAGTAAAGGATGTATAAGTTTCAACAGTCAATGATGTCTCAGTGTGTTGCTTTAAGCTTATGTTGGTTGTTTTTCACTGTTCCCACCTCTTATGAAAATCAATCTTGATTCAATCAGCTTAATCAAGAGTTGTTTTCAGTTCATATGTCAAACTTGTTCGAAGTAGTGCATTATTGATGTGCTGTTTTTATGGTTTTCACATACTCACACATCATGTTTTCAAGGCTATTGGAGTATGTTTGAAGCTTATTAATGACTAAATGGTGGGCTTCTTTGTCTGTCTTCAGCTGCAGATCCAACACAGATGTTCTAGCTTAGCTAGATTCTCACCAATATGTTACGGGGAACAGCCTTACATATTCTTTGTTGGAGAAGTAATTAGTTTTTATGTCACGATAAGATCATCTTACATTTGATAAATGCATAATGACATTGATTAATAATGGCATATTGATTCCAAAAGGATACATCAAAGTACATTGAGTATCAAGGTAATCTTGTTGTCAGCACAAATATAGAGTAATTTGTTCACCAATATTAAGCGTGTGTGATTGGTTATGTTGAGTGATTTTATTAGGACAATTTATTATCAACTTGCTTTGTTTCGAGAATGGTAGTCGCTTTGACTATAAATTTCCATTTTTAGCTTTTACAATGGTTGACCAAATAGTACATTTCAATCTTCAATTAGTTGATTTTAATAAATAAGGTGATAATTTTAATGGTCTAAAATTAAAAGTCTTGCTTCTGAATATCTTTATAAATATTCATTGTCCAGAAAAGTAAATTGCTTCTCTAATTCAGATTTGCATGGTAGTAATGTAACATTAAAAAGTTGTCCAAATATGGTTGTGGAATTTAAAATTCTGTAAATTTATTAATAACTTTTTTTCCAAAATCATCTTTGTCTAGTAAAATATTGAACAAATGTTAAATAAAATAACTCATTTTATTAATATTATAATTGACTTTTTTAATGAGAAATTTATCAAAGCTTTTAGAAAATACCTAAAATGGACTAGATTCAATTTACGAATGCTAAATTAAATAATTTCCAAGTGTATGAGGGGGTCAATTTTTTTAGAATAGGATAAAAGGAATTTGGTCGAATTTTTTTTTTTTTAAAAAAAATAACTTAAAATAGACTTGAGGAAAACATTTTATGAATGCTAAATTAAATAGTTTCTAAGGGGTTGATTTTTTAAGGGATATTATAAGAGGAATTAATTTAAATAAAATTCGGAAGAATCGTTTTTATGTGTTGATCAATAATCAATATCAAGAAATATTTGTAATATCTTGTGCTACTCTTGGATTCATTTTAATTGTCAAATTTTTCTTTTGTGTTTCTTTGAAAAAGTATTATTTAGAAGGATGATTTGATTATTCTTATTTATTATTTGAACCTCAAGTAATCCTTGTATTCCTTTCACTGCCTTATATCTTAGTGGTTTTCATCAAGATCAAAAATATTTAAATTAATATACAATTAAATATTAAAATATCGTACTAAAATTATAATACTAAATAATTAAGATTAATTATTTTCAACATGTGAATATATAAAATGCTTTTAAAATTTATTGGTGAAACATAACAAGCTTTTTTTCTCAATGATTTTAAAAATTTAACCAAATGAAAAGAAAAATTACTATTATTATTATTTTAGTTTTATTAAATGATTACTATTTTAAAAATTAGGCGTGAAATTTTGTAGCGAAAACATGCACATTCTGAATAAAGAATTTTTCTGATATTTGCTAATTTCAGAAAAATGAGAAAATGAGTGAAAATTAATCATATATGAGAAAATTATTAACTTAAAGAATAAATTGAAAAGAATATTAGCTTTAGATAGCAGACAAAACATGGTTAAAAAGATTTTGCAAACTTTTCTTCTTCTTCTTTATGCTCTCTCTATATATTATATACCGTCATTGCAACACACACGCACACACGCGCGCACGCGCGCACACGCATATTAAAAGAGCACATTTCAGAACTTTACTTTCACTCGATCAACTGATCAATTTGTCTTTTTCCTCAAAATTTCTCTATTTTGCATGTAGTAGATCTTTGTTTATTTTTTTAGTATACTGTGTTACACAAATACAATTTGTGTATTAAGATAATACTCGAGAAGGACTATGAATAACCTTCTTTGAGCAATATTTTATTTTTCAGAGAAAAAAATGATAATAAGTAGACCTTTAGAATTTACTTATAAAAATTTAATTTACTCTCAAAATTTCACCTATGCGAAATAAATTGGGATTGAGGGAATAACATATATTACTTAAAAATTATGTAAAAGATTACTATAAATCGCAATAATTAACGACTTAAAATATTTAAAAAACTGATTATCTTTCGAAGATTCACCTATGTCACATAAATTTAAGAGAGGGATAGTAATATATATTATTTTAAAATTATATTAACTAAGAATATCATAAATGACAATAATTAACAATTTAAAATATTTAAAGAAATATATTTAAAAATTGATTATCTTTCAAAGTTTCACCTATGTCACATAAATTTAAGAGAAGGGTAGTAATATATATTATTTGAAAATTATATTAACTAAGAATACCATAAATCACAATAATTAACAACTTAAAATATTTAAACAAATATATTTAAAAATTGATGAATTATCTAAATATCACATGTGCACATATATTCCTAGAAAAATACTTTTAAAAATATGATATAAATAATTAATGATAAAAAATTATTTAATAATTTAGTTAACTTTCCTAATCTTGTATAAATTAAAATAAAAATAATATGCGTGGACTTTTGTATCTAGTCTCTTAATTATTTTAAGTAAACATAATTGAGAAAAAAAACGCGTTTTTAAAGATATTAGCTTAAATAGCCAGCAACGCGCTTTCGGTTCAATATTTGCGTATTTTCTTATTCTTCACTCTCTATATATATCAAAGGGCTCTTCTTCTTCTGTGTCTGTCGTCGATATTCTTTAGGGCTTTCGATGCATTGCCCTTTGTAAGTTTTCTTTTTGATTACTTGCAATTTCTCTTTGTTGAATCCAGAAATCTGAATGTGCGAATGATCGTTCTTGGTATTAATTAGTACACATAGTCTACATTACTACATAAGCAGATGAAACAATTTAGCTGAAATTCAGGTTCTTGATATTAATTAGTACACATAGTCTACATTACTACATAAGCATATGAAACAATTTTGGCTGAAATCAAGTTCTTGATAGTAAGAATTTGTTTTCATATACTATAACAACACATTCTTCAAAACTTTATTTTGTTTAGAGCTTGATTTTGGTACATTACAATGTCTCAGAAGAAAGGCCACATAGGCTATTGCATGGGAAACAGGGATGTGGTCAAGGTGAGGATTGACATTTATAGATGCTACACTTAATACTGCCAATTTCATGAAAGTAGAGCTTTTACTAAATACTACTAGGTGCTATTTATTCCTACTTCATATTTTTTGATATCTTAAGTGTTCAATCTTGATCAAATATGCGAACCAGGAAAAAAAAGTACACCTTTTCTCAAGAGCTCTGATTTTGGAAAGTCAGCATTTGACATTAATCAGAAAGGAAGTAGAATAACATCATGTATTGCAACTCTAGAGAATGATATCACAGGACCCGGTGATGGAAAAATTCAATTCATTTGTGGAATATAATGCAGGCTTGTAAAGATAAAAGCCAGGAGGACTTGAGGTTTTAGGACTACCAGTTAGGTGATAAAGGTATTCTTAATTTGTTCTCTTCTATAATCTATATGTTCTATATTTATCTGAAATCCTTGTTGAGCTTTTATTAAATACTACTAAGTACTATTTATTCCTACTTCATATTTTTGGATATCTTAAGTGTTCAATCTTGATCAAATTTGCAAACTAGGAAAAGAAAGTACAACACCCTCTGCTCAAGAGATCTAGTCTTGGGAAGTCCGCATTTAGTACTAATCTGAAAGGAAGTAGAACAACATTATTTATTGCAACTCCAGAGATAGATTGCACAAGATCGGAGGTGGACAAGTTCAATCCATTAGTGGAATGCAGTCTTATCAAGAAAAAATCCAGAGGGAGTTGAGGTTTGAGGACGACAGTTAGGTAATAAAGGTGTACGTAACTTGATTTCTTGTCTGTAGATATCAAAGAAATCTACCTTGCATTCAATTAACACTTTTTATACTTCATGGTGGGTGATTGGCAGGTCAGAAAGGTTGGTGTTCATAGTGTTTCCAGTACACAGGGAGTGTCATCGACAACACTCTAGGCCTTTCATATCACTTGTATTTAACCAATCAACTGTTGATCAAACTTTTTATCCTCATTTTAAATACATTTGCAGTGGAAAGAACAGGGCTTGACATAATAAAATGAAAAATTCTACAGCAACTGCATCTACCCATTTCCGAAGTCATAACAGTTCATTTTCCATATATTTCCCCCAATACATTATTGATAAACTCTTTTGCACTTGCAGTAGAGTTGAATCTAGTGCCTCAGACGTTTCTCCTTTCTCCATGGATCCATTCAAGACCGTTTTCACCTTTAAAACCAACTTCCAGTTCTTCCACTACGTCCATTTTTTCTCCATCAAGGAATGCATGGGCTTTATCAACATCTGCGACTGTATCACATAACAATCTCCACTGCCTCCATGTTCAGTGTCACCTTCCAAGTATACTTCGTTAACAAAACTATCAGGCCACTCCTGTTTTGTCAAAAGAACTTTTCTCCTTCTCCCGTTATACCTATAGGTGGCCAGCCACAATCAACATTATGTTTCAAGCACTCCACTTGCTGCCAGTTAAAATGCTTTTAAGTGTTTCTGAACGTTTATGCAATTATATCTCATTTATACTTATCTGCCATTGACTTTCAGTCATATAAATAATAAAAAAGGCACCTTATGGTCGATAAAATCGGTGAAGAACTTCTATTGTGGTGTTGTATATCTAAGCTATTGCTATTCTTGCAGCCTTTGTTCTTTGGTCCTCTGCAGCCAGAAATGACTCCATAAAGTTGGAGGAACACTTCAACAACCAACGCTTCTCACCCATCAACTGTTACTCAGTACAGTTTGCCTGGCTCTTTTGAGGTTGATAGTATGCTGGATTGTAATCCATGTAACTAATCCTCCCAGCACCTGTTATTTAAGAAGGGTCTAGTTGCTCAGAAATTGGACTAGGAGTTGGTTAGCCAAGTATCAACGACCAACAGTGAGTGTCAAACTTAACCATTTATTGTTTTACTTTCTGCGTGAGTTATAAAATTCCTAATTTTGACTTCTAGACTTTCCTGGACATTTTTTTTTATTTCCGCTACCTAAGTTAGTACTCCACAGTCCTTTTTAACCTGATCGTTTTATTCTTCTTCTGGTTACTAATTACAGGAATGTGGCTCAAGGATCCTACCAAGTTTAGGTTTACGTTCTTGAACAATGATCTATTGCCTTTTCCATTCAGCATTGCATTGTACATTATCCTTATGTGCTTGTGAAAGACATGATGCTTTTTGGATGAAGTGTACATATGGAGAAGTGAGAACCTTGTGAGTTAATTTGATGTCTGTTCGGTGTGCTTTGTGACGTTGGTACCTTTGCCTTTGGTGCCTAGATTGTTCTTTTTTTAATTGTGTCTCTGGTCTTTTTCTCTAAAAACATTTTCTTGCTACTTGTTTCAGCATCCTTGGCATACTCGTATCGGTAATCTTAACATCTTTGACGCACGTGACTTTGGTATTTGTGATTATTATATCCATGTGCTTTTGCTTCGTTTATCACTTTGGTCTTCGAGTGCAACAAACTGTGTTTTGACTCTTCTTTTCTCTTGAGATAACATATGGCTTAATGTTCTTTTTGTTCTTTCTTTTGGGGCATGCTTTTGTAGGGTGCACGGCAGCTTTGGATGCTGAACATTACTTGCAAGAAATCGGTGCCCTAGAGGGGCCTGTCTCTTCTTTTTCTTGCCCCTGTTATCCTTATTTGTACTTTCTCATGCACCAGCTATACCTTAACATATTTGCAGGTTTTACTTTCCGAGAATCATGGAAGTGAATCCATCACCAGTTACGCCTCCTGCTGAAACACAACCTTCAGTCCAAATCTCGGTAGAGCACCCAAATTTGGCAACATCCATCCTGTACGGAGTTTCTAGTTTACCTGTAAGTTCACATTTCTGCATAATTAATGTTGCTCCTGGATGTGTTCATTGGTCTTAAACCAAGTATCATACTCACTGGAAGTTACATGATGTTTTGGAATGCCTCATTACTATTGCTATAAATGTTATGCACCTTGTTGTAATTATTGATGCTTTCGTCAAGGTAGATGTAACTGCATCAAGTTTCTGGCCTCTGTCTTTATGTTTATTTGGTTTTACCGCATCAAGTAGGTTTAATCTAATTAATTTCAGTATTTCTTCAATAAATTGTAAACATCAATATAGTTGTCCAAGTTCCAAACTAACTCTCCAATGTATCAGACATGATTATGTTTTATAGCTGCACTTTTATTGATAAACTCGTATTGTTTATGTTTAACGTGAAAACAGAAGTTGTAGGCTATTATGAAAATTTCTATTGTTGTTGGTTGCAGGTCTCTAACAACCCTGCTATGATCAGGCAAAAATATTCATCGATAATTCGACATTCATCTCTAAGTAAAACATATGTTGCACCGAAATACAAACCTACAAGTGATATACCAAAGGGGAGAAGTTGGATTTTATGTGAGGCTTGTTTAGTAGTTTGTGTCATGCTTTGGTTGATCGATCAGAAGTGTAAGAATAACACATATCATATGCAAAGATTGCAAGTACGGGTATCCTTTTGGTGAAATAATACATCACAAAGTCCATGTTTTCCTCTAATCCAAGTAAAACACTGGAAAATTTAACAAGCCTATAAAATTTGTTTATGTAGTTCTCTTTTTCATGGATGAAGAAAACGCTTCTGACGTAAAAAGGACAGAAGTCATCATCATTCAAAGGGACTGGGATTTTTCTAAAATTTTCCCTTCTACCAACAATGTTGAAGTTTGAGGTGGGAATTCACTCAGGGTTCAAGGTGGCAATATTCCCTTCTACCACACAGTTCAATTTTTTGGTTTATTTTATGAAACAGGGATCAGGTATTTCATATTTTTGGTAAACAAAAACTGTGGAACCTAGATTTTACAAAATCAAAACCAGTAGCGAATATGAATTACCAGAAACTGAATTGTTTTGGATCACTGGTCTTGTATTTGAATGCAGGAACCTCTAATTGGTGTTACGGCATTCCATGAGAGGTGTTCATATCCTTTGCTAACAACAAAAACAAATCCAATGTTAGTCCCATATGTGTGGTCTGGGATAGAGTGTTCACAGACCCCTACCTTGTACACGTAAAGAGGCTCTTTCCATAAGATCCTCAGCACGAGTAATGCATATCAAAGCAGTTAAAAATTTGGTCTTTTCTACTATTGTAAGATAATTGTATCAGCATAAAACATCTAAAGAACAATGTAATATTATAGAGTTATAGATGATAAGGGTAGGATAAATCTTAAAGGTGCAGAAATAACTAGCATTCCTAAAATTTATTTGAAAGTGCTTTCAAATTGCGGCTTTCTAGTTATGTTGAGAAGTCTATAGGAAGCTTACCTGAGATTTGGTGCTCTATTAACCACGTTACCTTTTATACAGGGGAACGAGAAGAAATTGTGTGGAGAGTATATTTGAAGTATTTCCAAATAGAATAAGTTGGTATTTTATCTTAACCTACAGGTTATTTGCATCTTAATGTATATGTTTCTATGTGTTTATTTATTGTAACAGGATAATTGTTATTGCACTTTCTGACATGACTTGATCACAGGTATGGATTTAGAAAAGAAGTTGTTGAATGCCACGATATAGCTTATGATGAACTATCTATAGACATCTCTTCATAGTTCCATGGGGAAATTTCCCTGTGTTGAGAATAAAATGACAAAAAATGTACTGCTGGAGTCATTGGGCTACTAAAACTGGATCCCAACATATGTAGTTGCTCAAGTCATGTGTTATTTATTTTAATATAGTTTGAAGTTTTTCAAGAATAAAAACTGGTACACCATGTTTTCGACTTGCCTGCAAGTTGAAATTGTTAAAAGGAGATAAGGAGATGGAGCAAAGAGGTGACACAGCTAATAAATGAGAAGAGGGAGATTGGGCATGTGGAAAGTATGAGGGTGCTCGAATAAAGGGAGAAGGTTAGATAGGAGTAGGCAAGGGGGGAGCTTAAGGCTCTAGTGGTTGCTGAAGAGTCTAGTTGGAGGCAAAAATTGAGGGCATTGTGGTTGACAGAAGGGGAATTCTAACAAAATAGGTGTGTGAGGGGGAGGAGGAAGGAAAACTTTGCGTGAGGGGGAGGAGGAAGTGGAGGAGGCCATTGTATGGTTTTATGAACATTCTTTCAAGGAAGATATCAGATGGAGATGAAAATATTGGGGGCGCTAGTATTTAACCTAATAGGCGAGTGGGTGAAGGAGTGGCTAGAAAGGGCTGTAGAAGAAGAAGAGGCGAGGGATAGTTGTCTTGGTTACAAGGCTCCAAGTCCTGATGGATTCTCCTTTGCTTTTTTACAACAATGTTGGATGAAAGTCAAATGTGAGCTGTTGGTGACCATTGCAGAATTCAGGGGAGTATGAGAAAAGTCTTCATGCATCCTTTGTTACTAATGTGCCAAAGAAGGAAAGTGTGACAAGTATAAAGGACTATAAACCTATTAGTCTGGTAGGAAGCATTTTCAAGATTTTATTTAAGGTGCGTTCAAATAAATTTAAAAGGTTCAGAAGTACTTTAAAATTCACTGCCCTTTTTCTGGGTGGGCTGGGGTTGGGTGATAGAGGGGAGATGGGTTGAAGAAGCTTTGCTCAAGATCCACTGAGTTTGGAACCTCGGGGATTTCTCCGGTTATAAAAAATATACTTAATTGAATTGTGCCTATGTCTGCTGATGCCGGTAGATATAGCAACACGTCTTTCAAATATATGATATTTGTTTGATTTCAATTTTGTAGAGCTTTCTAGAAGTAGATTTATTAACCGAAACAATTTTAAGCAGAGATGTAGCTTAGGTTTTCGAGAGCCGTGATTGACCTCTAGGATATCCTATTTTTGCTCCACAGCGAGCTCTTCGAGAATATAGTTGCTGGCTGGAGACCTCGAGCAATTAATGTCAGCAGTAATTAAATAAGGTACCTCTAGTAGTTATGAAATATCTAAGGATGTATAGAACACAAAAGAGATTTAACATACGTTATAACCTGACTTGCTATTGAAATTCTCTATATTAGTTCTAGACTGCAAAGAAGATTGTCAATGAGGAAACAGTTGTATATTTGTATTTTCTTGTATATACCAAATACAGAACAGAGGTGGCATGCCAATTCTTAGATAAAAGCCAAAGAGATGTTTGGAAAAAGAAGTTTCTTAAAATTAAGAAGTGTATTGTATCCGTAGAAATAAATAAACTGATTCTTGAATTGTGTTTTCAACCGATCAAATTGTGTCTCTACCTCTGTGTGATGAGTCCAGTAGTTGTTTACTACTTTGGTGCATTCCACATTTTCTGTTTCAGTTTATTTACATGAATGGAAACACCACACAAATAGGATGATAATGCAGCTGTTATCTTAACTAGAAGAATTCTGATTTAGTTTTCTGTCAGTTAGTCAAATGAAACTATTCATTTTGCTCATTTAGGACTTTAGGTGCTGATCTTCCAGATGGGCTCAGTTGTGCCGTTTCAAGTATCAATATGTTTATACTCGAAGGATAGAAACATAACCTCTTAATTACAATTTTTTTTTGATGGAGGGATAAGTTACCCAAGAGATTAAGAGGAAAAGGGACAGAAGTAGATGTGTTATTTTCAACAGATGCAAAGGAAGGAAACATAGATTCAGTTACTTGACGAAAAAGAAAAGGCAATGAAGTGGAACCAACAAAAACATGGAGGAGTTACGGATAAATTGTTGTATCTTTCCTTATGATTGTAGTCTTTCTTGATATAATGGTAAGGTTACTAAATAGATTAGCAGGTACCGGTGCTTTGATTTGTCCTCATTCTTTTAACTTTTATTCTCTTAACTTTGAGATGCTTTTAACGATTCCTTTCTAGCGCTAATTTAAAGTTAGGACTTTTTTGGCTGTGGCGGTTATCTGATTACTAGTTTCTTTATCAGGTTGAACAAGCATGGTTACCATTACAACTAAAATATTGGAATCAAGGGGATAGAAAATATATTAAGCTAAAGAGAACATCTTTTGACACTTCAAGAAGTAATTAATTTATAGATACGAGTAGTGATGAAAAGACAATGGTAGATTTCTTATGATGATAATGTTATAACCGTAACATGTATATTTTGATGATAAGTTGATTTAAGCTAGATTTTATTGCGTTAAGATGTAGCACTTAAAATGATGACTGAATGTGATGAAATGGGACAAAGTGAATTTGATATCACATGGAGGAATGTTGTCTCAATTGAGAGAAATATTGAAAAGAACATGATTGAATCGTTGTGTCTTACATCATTACACGTAAACCCTATTTATAGACACTAGAATAATTTTTTAATCAAGTAGGATTGTATTTTACAATTCCTATTTCTATTTGTATTCCTATTCCTATTCCTATTCTAAATTGGATTGTATAAACCTATTCCTATTCTAATGGGATTGTATAAACTTATTCATGTTCTAACACTCCCCCTTAATCTCGTGCGTACAATTCATGTACCTAGCTTGTTACAAATGTAATTAATACGGGGAACAATGAGGAACTTGGTGAGATTATTGCAAGTTGATCAGTCAACTTCACAAAATTGACATTCATTCTCAGTGTAGTGTCTTCTCATTAAATCTTGGATTTGATGCGTATTGACAGACAATCTCAATGTGCTTAATCTTTCTCATGAGATATTGAATTTGATGTATAATGTCGATAAAACATAGTGTGATAAAATTACTATGTTGTACTTTTCAAACCAAACTTTCAAACACTGTTTCAGACCATACAGTGACTTACATAATCGACATACAAGGCTACTAAACTCACCGTGAGCTACAAAGTGCTCAAACTCTAGTCTAAAGTATATGAATCATGCTCGAATCAATAGATGAGTCGATATTAAACGAGAAAGTCACTGAAAAGTTGGCCGGAACATGCTCCTAAGCCGGTATATTAGATTTGATGGATAATAGTGGTTATAATCTAACAAATAACATTATATGGGTAGGATAGGAATGGTAGCATGACCCAACTAGAAAATAGAAGGTCATATTGATGGCACAACCCTATTGAAAAAGAGAAATATAATATGAGTAGGGTTTGGAATGATGGCACAACCCTCAAAAATCAAATTTGAGGATTCATCGAAATGACAAATAGAATTGCGCTGATCAAATTTGAGGAGTCACCGAAAAGACACGGTGCTATGCAACTTAGATATAAAAAGTAGTTTGGAAAAATCTACGGTTCTACGTAAATTAAATATGAAAAGTAATCTGGAGAGATGCACAGTGCTACACAAATTAAATATGAAAAATTAGTAAACCGGAAAGATGACGCGATGCTGCACAAAATAGATATAGAAAGTAGTCACCGAAATGATGACGCGGTGCTAAACAAATGAATATGAAAAAGTAGTCAACGAAAAGATAGCACGTTGCTACACAAATACCAACGGATATGGGGTTGACACAAAACAATCATTGGAAATTGACCTTGATAACTTGTCTCACTGAATTTTCTTTCTCTGAATATGGGGTTCATGCATATATCATTGGTGTCATTTTTGTTAACATAATTATTGGCCAGACGGGCGGCATATACGGGTAATAGCCACCCGCTGACAGCAGAAGCTCTTTGATTTTCTACCAAGATCGTAGAGGCTTTGATACCATGTGAGAATTATTGAAAAGAATATTATTGAATTGTTGTTGTGTCTACATTATTACATTGAGACCCTATTTATTGACACTATAAAACAATCATTTACCAAGTAGGATACTACGTACTATTTCTATTCCTATTTTAAATAGGATTGTATAAACCCACTTCTATTCTAATAAGATTGTATAAACCTATTCATGTTCTAAAAGATGTGCAGTCTTTTATTATGGTGCTTCTAATATTTTGTTGTGTGAGGATTTTAGAAAAGTTCCAGCTATTATGTTGCTCTAAATAAATAAAAGTGCACTTGCGTTAACAATTTAAGTTTTTAGATGAGTTCTTTAATATGGTATTAGAGCGGACAAAGATTCAATATCTGAGTCTTAGTGTCACCCATAACTAAAATTATTCCATGTGCTTGGGAGCCCACATGTAAGGGGTTTGAACCCCTTTGACATTTCTTCATTTGAAAATAATTCTCGTTGTGAAAACACAAAGCCAAGGGAGATGCTCTTTGAATAGGAAAAAGTGTGGATTAAGACTTAAAAGTATAAATCTATATTTTGAAGAGTCCTATGTTGCCACTTGGGAGCATAAATGAAACTCAGTACTAAATTATTCTCGGTCTCCGTTGCTCCTGGATTATTTAATAATGGCGCTCTAGCTTCTCTTTAGTGTAGCTATTATTGGAAGGTGTAGTGTCTTATGGACTTGTCCTAGTAACTTAAAAAGAGATCGAAGAGACTTTTTAGTAGACTTACTTTTAAACTTTTTTGTGGCTGAGCATACCTTATGCAGAGGCTGATATGCCTATTTCTTCAATAATAAGATGTTCATCTCCATATACAGAAGAAAATTCAATAGCAGCAGCATTTTTTAGAACAATTTATTGACATACCCTTTATGTAATATCCATATGCTGTGGAGCGAGTCCATTATCACATGCATCTGATTTTCCATCCTTATTTCCAGTAGCTTCATTTTGCATAGCCACAAGATCTAGTACATTGTTGTTTCTCCTGAAACACAATGCAGATATTACAGTTGCAATGCCAAGCATATGTATGTCAAATGGCCTTTGTGATGTTACAATTTTAGTCTACTGTGTAGTCCACACAACTGACAAACTTGTAGGCAAGAATGCATTATAAACTTTGGATTTGACATATTAAATGCATCCAAAAAGCAGAATAGACATGTCTAATAATTCCATCCATAAAGCGGAAGAAACTATGAATATCCAGAACAAGATAGACTAGATAGTCTCGAACTCCCAGACTGTTGCGCGTGTCTGTTGGGGAAATCCGTAAAGTTGGTAAGCCCAAATTGTTTTTAGCCAACATTGCACTAGCTTGACAATAGGAGCTGGCTTCACATATACCAGCTTAAATGATATGCATGCATCTAAAAATTCACTTATAGATGGATTTTACTTAGAAACATCCATTGAGCAAGAGACAGTATCTTCTGCCATTGCTGATTGAGGCGTCGAGTGTTCTATAGTAGTAGTTGGTGATACTAGCAGCGTAGGTTCATGACCAATCTCATTAGGAGGAACTGCCATTGCTGATAGAGGCGTCGAGCGTTCTGTAGTAGTAGTTGGTGATACTAGTAGCATAGCTCCAAGACCAATCTCATTAGGAGGAATGTATTTGTTCCTTGCATAAATTAGAGTAACAGGTTCATCTTCGTCAGATATTATTTCAAAGTCTGGTCCCTGGAGATAGTTATCAAGTGTTCTCTGGATTTGAGCAGGTGACAAAATGCCATGTCTAGGCTTTGATATCTTTCTTCTTGGGAGAGGATCTTTGTCTGCTTCTCCAAAAAGATGGTGAACATTAGTGCACATAAAACAATAAGGTACTAATACAATTGATATTATCTTTTTTTGTGTGTAGGAGTGGGGGGTAAGCTGTTGCAAAAATTTGTATGGTTAAATATATTAGTTTTCCACTTTTTTATAACCCTTACACTTAAGAAAGGATGTGATTCATGACACGACCTAGATACTATCTTACAAGTCCTTGTTGCTCCCAGATATGAACTCCAAGATAAACCTATAGAGGTCCCTTCAGGGCTTCTAAACTCCTCTTCGGTGGTAAACTGGAATACTGTACTCCTTAGCAAAGACAGGAAGGGGAGGCTGGGAAATTGAAATTTGAGATTGCAAAATGGAAGTCTTCTGAAGAAGTCATTGTGGAGGTACATTGAGGAGGGAAATGCTTTCGGGAAAGAGGTGATTAAAGTTGAGTATGGTGAGCTAACCCCATGGTGTACAGAAAGCACAGTTGAACCTTACGGGGTGTGGGAGTATGGAGAACAATCACAAGTTTGTGGTCACAAATGAAGGCAGACTTTTATATCAAAGTGGGAAATGACAGAAACAAGATCCTGGAAGGATATCTGGATAGAACAATTTCCTCTTAGGAATCTCTTTCAAATTTGTAAGATGCTAATGTAGTTGCCTGTTGGGCCAGAAGTCAGAACAGGGATGGGATATAGCCTTCGGAAGGCTTGTAAATGATTGGGAGGTGGAATGGGTTGTAGAGTTACTTGGGAAGATAGGTGGAATGAGTATGGATTCAGTAAGCAGTGTCTACAGAAGAGGTAGAGCTGATGGCTGGGACCCAAAACATCTCTGAAACTATTTCTGGAATGGGGACATTCCTAGAATAGTGATATGCCTCACTTGGCTTATGATAAAGAGGGTCTGCTTCTCCAAAAAGATGGTGAACATTAGTGCACATAAAACAATAAGGTACTAATGCAATTGATATTATCTTTGTTTGTGTGTGTAGGAGTGGGGGGTGAGCTGTTGCAAAAATTTGTATGGTTAAATATATTAGTTTTCCACTTTTTTATAACCCTTACACTTAAGAAAAGATGTGATTCATGACACGACCTAGATACTATCTTACAAATCCTTGTTGCTCCCAGATATGAACTCCAAGATAAACCTTTAGAGGTCCCTTCAGGGCTTCTAAACTCCTCTCCGGTTGTAAATTGGAACACTGTACTCCTTAGCAAAGACAGGAAGGGGAGGCTGGGAAATTGAAATTTGAGATTGCAAAATGGAAGTCTTCTGAAGAAGTCATTGTGGAGGTACATTGAGGAGGGAAATGCTTTCGGGAAAGAGGTGATTAAAGCTGAGTATGGTGTGCTTAACCCCATGGTGTACAGTGAGCACAGTTGAACCTTACGGGGTGTGGGAGAATGGAGAACAATCACAAGTTTGTGGTCACAAATGAAGGCAGAGTTTTATATCAAAGTGGGAAATGACAGTAAAAGAAGATTCTGGATAGAACAATTTCCTCTTAGGAATCTCTTTCAAATTTGTGAGATGCTAATGTAGTTGCCTGTTGGGCCAGAGGTCAGAACAGGGATGGGATATAGCCTTCGGAAGGCTTGTAAATGATTGGGAGGTGGAATGGGTTGTAGAGTTACTAGGGAAGATAGGTGGAATAAGTATGGATTCAGTAAGCAGTGTCTACAGAAGAGGTCTCCAGCTGATGGCTGGTACCCAAAACATCTCTGAAACTATTTCTGGAATGGGGACATTCCTAGAATAGTGATATGCTTCACTTGGCTTGTGATAAAGAGGGCATGTTTAACGCAGGTAGTACTACAGAAGAAGAGCATACAATGTTATTCATGTATACATAAGTGAAATTTTCTTACCATTTGTTTCATCCATTTGCATGCATTTGTCTGGGGATGATACTGCTGAACCTAAGCTTGATATTTTAATCATTTCCTCTTCGAGACAAGCTGAAGAGCCATCCTGTCCAGAAACTTCTTTGCCAACTTCCAGCTTTTGGTCATCACGAGATAACAGATGCGGCTTCATCTTAGAAGGTAAGTCTGTGCTTCCATGTTTGGGAACATAGTCATCTAGTGTCTCTTTAGTTCGCCATCTTAATCCACATGCATTGCAAAGCACTGGTTTTGCAGTTGGCCCAGGTCTCCATAGGCGGGTTTCTGTTTGAGTTCACAAATAATTAGCGTTTAAATGGGACAATATATGATTAAAAACTTATAGGTAAATTATCTCAGAAACTAAAGCACAATGATCATTGACGATTAAGATTTTTTGTATAAGGTTTAGAATGTACTGCACGAGAACATAAGCGTCACGGAAGTGGAGTACGTATAGCGGGGAATATTATTGGCAAAACAAGAGGAAATATCTTTCTGTGAAACATATATAGACTTTTAGGATGTGTCAACTGCTTTTACACACATTTTTATCACCATTTTATGGCACCATACAGCATAGTTGAACGAGCTTGATGGTGGAAATATTGAAAAGGATTTGCTTGTTGTGTTAAGGAACAATGCAAAATAGTTAACCTCTTGGCAGACTGCATTTCTTTGCATGATATTTTAAGGAGGAACGCTATCAACAGTAAAATGATTCCCCCACCCCCCCTAAGCAAATCACCCACTACTCTCCTGCACTGCAAGCTACTGGCCTGACCTCTCACCACCACCGGCGACCAGGTACGGAATCTCCATGCCCTCTTTCTTTCTCCCTTTCTGTGTTTTTTTTTTGTTGCACTGCCACCACCCGTCAACAAGAGTCAGTTACCCCATCCTGATGACTGACGACCGACAGACCAACGGAGTATATACATTGTATTTTTTATCCCCATCAACTCCTAGGTATGATGATCCACCACACCTTTATATGTCTTATCTAGACCTGATTTTTCCTTGAGAGATTGTTCAGACCCTTATTATTGCTTGATTGTTAAACTGATTTCCTTAAATCGATATTGTGTTTGTGAATTTATTATTGTGCCCTTGTGAATATCACTACATTTTTCTTGGTTCCTACATTGAACTGGTATCTTTGCTGTTGCTTTTTTTTAATGTTCTTCATTGTATTGTGTGACTGCCACTTTCTGATTTAGGGTTTTTGACGTTACGGGTTGCCCTGCTTGATTATTTACACTTGGTTATTCTATAACTGGAAAGTGGCTTCAAAAGGTTTGATGGTAGTTAAAAGACATGTCAATGATTTGGGGCGAGGTCAGGTGTGGTAAGGGTACCAAGGGAACTCCTCAGTTGTGAGTTGTCTTGGAACACAGGGATATTGTCGAGGATGTCAATAGAGTTGGTGATTATAATAAAGAGAAGGAGGATCAATATACCTTGTGTTTAGGATACCTAATAGGTAGGAACTAAGGCTAGGGATATAGGAGGGTTCAAGTTAAGGTACTCAAGAAGTTTGAGGATTAAAAATGGAATAGGTATTAGTCTATGTTGCTCAGATTTTTCAAAAATTTCAAGAGGTGCATGTCAGATACTCCAAAAGTAGTGCATTCTGTTGAATTCGACACAGGTGCGGCAACAATTTCAGAAAGTCCAAGCAACATCGATTTTAGAGGAAGATCCTAATCTATTGTATAAATGAAGTCACCAACATGAACTAGGTAGCTGCTATACATGATGGAGAATTTGGCACTTGGCAGTCTGCCAACAATTTACTGACTACCTCTGGAGGCTAAATCTAAATCTATAGAAATATGGGATAGAGTGATAAAGAATGTGAAAAAAAGCTAGCCAGGTGGAAAACTCGATAACTCACCTTAGAGGAAGACTGACTCTCACTAATTCAGTCCTTGATGCTTTCTTTACCAACTTGTATTGATGCTTTTATTTCCCATCCCACCAGGGGTTATCAAAAGGTTGGACAACATTAGGAGAGAGGTTTTTGTTGCTGGGAAACAACGAAAAGAAACGGTACCCACATGGTAAAATAGAAATCTGCGGCTAAGAAGAATGGGGGTTATGGAGATATGCCAATGACAGACAGTTGTTGTGGAGCAGGGTCATTGGTGCCAAATATGAAGCGGAAGAGGGCAGGGTCTAAGATGTGCATCTATGCCAGGGATTGGGGACCAAATCTACAATTTATCCAAGATGACCTCAGTTCCTGTTAGATTAAGAGAAATTTATTTATTTACTGTTTCAGGCATGTGAGTCTTCAATGTTTTTTTTCTTAACATCAGGCACATAAATTCTAAGCATCAATGAATCAATTACCCTGTAAAGAACGAGATTATTGATAAACATAAAAGGTGGAATATAGGTGTTTAATAGAACTTACGCTTGATGCCGCAATGGCGACATGGCCCTTGTTTACCCATAAAATCTTGTTCTGAATGTTTCCAGTTTAGGTCAGGTTGAATGTACTGCAGCTAACTTTAGAGTTGGATTAGCTTTCAAAACCTAAAAATGTCTGACTGAGGCGACGGATAAAATATAAAGACAAATAAGAAATCAGTCGACTACAGCTAGTCATTTATTTATGGAAATAAGATTAATCATGACAGAGGTCTAACTTTGATCTATTCTGTTTTCCCTTTTGTGACAGCTCATCAATTTTAATTACTGTAATTTCTTAATTATTGACAAAAGAACTCCAATGGGAGAAGTCTTATTTTAAAAAATGGGGGTGGGGATTTGGGGGTGATTGCTGGATTTGGTGAACCTTCATAATTTTAGGCCTTTAGTCTAGTGGTCAAGGGTTGTTAAGCAATGAATCTTAAGGCAAGGGAGCGTTAAATATTTTCAATATGATAATTGAAGTATCTAAGGAAGAGCATATAAGATAGCTGCCAAATGATCAAGTGAAAAGAAAATTAGTTGCCAAAAACTTCCCAATTGAACCCTTCGGGGTGACCCAGTGGTTGAGCTTGAGACTTTAATGTTGGAGGTCTCAAGTTCAACACCCCTTGCCACCGAAAGCAAGGGGTTTGCCTTCTGGATAGAGCTCGTCGCACTAGTCTTTCCTAGTGCGGGCTACCTCTCCTTTGTGGTTTGCGAGCTATTGCATAGGAGCGGAGATTTTACCCTGTGCGCACTCAAAGGGTAGCATCTTTGGGTTTTCCTAAGCATAAAAAAAAAGCCTCCCAATTGACTGTTTGAACACACCTTAGAGCCTGTTTGGCTCAGCTTAAAAGCTGGTCAAACCGACTTAAAAGCTGATTTTTGACTTATTTATCTGTTTGGCAATATTCAAAATAACTTATTTTAAGTTTAAAAAAACTTATTTTAAGCCAAAAGTTAAAAGCTGGGGTAGGGGTGTTTTTTTTTTCCAGCTTATAAGCTGTTTTAAGTTGACCACATTTTACCTTTTTGCCCTTAATATTTTTATACAATCTCCAAATCATCCACATAACCCTAACATCTCTTTCTTCTATTTTTCCATTTTCACGTGTGGATGATAGACAATTACTATTACTAATGAATGAAAATAAAATAAATCTTAAATCTTTCAGGTTATCTATTCAAATTATATATTAATAAAATGTAAAATAAGTTGCACATATAACTTAAATATAAATTTATATTCCTCTTATAAATAATTTGTGATATAAAGAAATATGTGAATGATAGACAATTATTATTACCTATGGATGAAACTAAAATAAAATCTTAAATCGTTCTTTAATCTATTCAAATTATATATCTTTAAAATCTATAATAAGTTTATATTCCTCTTATAAATAATTTGTGATGAGAAAGAAATATGTGAATGATAGCAAAATATAATTATTTATGGCTGTAAAATATAAATTAATTAACTTTTATTATGTTAACAGCTTTTAAGGGTATTTCAGACATTTTGATTTAAAAAGCTGTTTATCAGCACTTATTTGCCAAACACATCAACAACTTTTTTTTTAACTTCAGCACTTTTATCCAAACACATAACTACTTATTTTAAAAATAAGTTTCAACACTTTCAAAAGTATTTTTTTAAAGCTGCTTTTATTAAGCCCATCCAAACGGGCCCTTAGTCGGCTTCCAAATCATGAATGTTCTCATGCTTTTTCTTGGCACTTTTATGGTCAATTTTTTTTTTTGATGACAAGGGAAACCTGCAGTCGCTACCCTTTGGGTGCGCACAGTATGAAATTTCCGCTCCTATGCAATAGCTCGCAAACCACATAGGAGAGGTAATCCGCACTAGGCAAGCCTGGTGCAACGAGTTCGACCCAGAAGGCAAAACCCGTGCTTTCGCTTTTGGGCCACCCGAAGGGTTCAATTGGGAAGTTTTTGGCGACTGATTTTCTTTTCACTTGGTTATTTGGCAGCTATCTTAATGCTGATTTTAGGTGTGTGCATATTCTTCTTGTATACTTCTAGTTGCAAGAGGCTTAAGTGTTTTTTTTTTAATTCGTTTTGATACTCTTGCATAATTGGATATTGAATTTGGTTATAAACTTCACTACTGCTATGAGGAAATGTGTAACTATGATGCTTAATCGACTTTATTCTTGTAGTTCTTAATGATTTTGCGGAGCTAGCGTTTAGTCTAAAAACTATGAAGCATTATATCAAAGAATCTCGGTGGCTGTTTCTTATCAGCAGCTATGAGTTTGCTCTTGTTTCCATAAGTATGTTATTGGGTAAATCCTACCTAAACATGATCATTTTAGGAAGCATATGCTTGGCTCATCTTTATTTTTCTTAATCTTCCAGCTCTGTGACATATCAGGTGTCTCCTTGCCAGATCGCTTCTTTTGACTTCCTATCCGACATGACTTTGAAATGTTTGAATAAACTAGATAAGATTGTGTTTGACAAATTGATACTAGTAATAATGGTATTTCCTTGCTTGCTGGTTTAATCAAATGTGAAGTAGGTACAGTATAGTCCTTTGCCCTAGTACATAGATGTATAAGTTCTAACAGTCAATGATGTCTCAGTATGTTGCTTTAAGCTGATGTTGGTTGTTTTTCACTGTTCCCATCTCTTGTGAAAATCAATCTTGATTCAATCAGCTTAATCTAGTGGAAACATTATTTATTGCACTTGTGAGTTGTGATGTTCAGTTCATATGTCAAACTTGTTCAACGTAGTGCATTATTAATGTGCTGTTTTATGGTTCACACACTCGCACATCATGTTTTCAAGGCTACCGGCTTAGACTCTGCCTTTTTGAGTCTTTGTGATGATTTAACTTGCTAGGTTCTCAGAAATGTAATGGTCAACCTGAAAAACAAAGTGATCATACCCACAGTGTATGAAATATGAGCGAGATGGGTTATGTTTTGGTTTTGTTTGACCCATTTTCAACTCATTTGCCGCCGCCGCCACTAATATGTTATGGGGTAGAGTCTTGCATATTCTTTGTTTAATCTCTATATGGAGAAGTATTTAGTTTTTATGTCACGATATAATCATTTTACATGAGAAAATTAATGATCAATGCATAATGGCATATTGATTCCTAAAGGAAACGTGAAGTACATTGAGTATTGGTCACGACAAGCAGGGCATCTTTGCCGTCAGTACAAATACCGAGTAACTTGTTCACCAAAATTAGGCATGTGTGATTATGTTGAGTGATCTCATTAGGACAATATATATATATATATATATATATATATATATATATATATATATATATATATATACACACACACTTGCTTTGTTCAAGAATGGTAATTGCTTTGACTATAAATTTCCGTTTTTTGCTTTGGCAATGGTTGACCAAATAGTAGCTTTCAATCTTCAATTAGTTGATTTTAACAAATAAGGTGATAATTTCAATGGTCTAAAATTAAAAGTCTTGCTTCTGAAGATCTTGATAATTATTCATTGTCCAGAAATGTATTTGCTTCTCTAATTCAGATTTGCTTGATATTAATGTAACATCAAAAAGTTGGTTGTGGAATTTAAAATTCTATAAATTTATTAATAACTTTTTTCCAAAATCATCTTTGTCTAGTAAAATATTGAACAAATGTTTAATAAAATAAATCATTTTATTGATGTTAATAATTGACTTTTTTAATGAGAATTTTGTCAAAGCTTTTAGAAAATACCTAAAATCGATAAGATTCAATTTATGAATGCTAAATTAAATAATTTCCAAGTGTATGAGGGGGTCATTTTTTTTAGAATAGAATAAAAGGAATTTGGTCGAATTTTTTTTTTTAAAAAAAAACTTAAAATAGACTTGAGGAAAACATTTCTAAATGCTAAATAAAATAGTTTCTCTAAGGGGTTGATGTTTTAAGGGATAAAAGGAATTAATTTTACATAAAATTTGGAAGAATCGTTTTTATGTGTTGATCAATATCAATAATTATTTGTAATATCTTGTGCTACTCTTGGGTTCATTTTAGTTGTCAAATTTTTCTATTGCATTTCTTTAAAAAAAATATTAAGTAGAAGGACGATTTGATTGTTCTTATTTATTATTTGAATCTCAATTAATCCTTGTATTCCTTTCAATGCCTTAAATCTTAATTGTTTTCATTAAGATAAAAAATAATTAAATTAATACACAGCTAAATATTAAGATATCGTACTAAAATTGTAATACTAAATAATTAAGATTAATTATTTTCAAACATGTGAATATATAAAAAAATTCCTTTCTTTAGAATTAATAAATATAAAATTAGAATAAAATATTAGATTATTTTATATTATATTAAGAAACCATGAAAGTATTATATGACCAATTAAAGGCGATGGTCTAAGCAATGATGGTGGAAGGTGTCGATTGGGATTATGTTTGGAGAGTTCGTCTACTGGAACCCTCGTTTTCACTACTATTTAGACTTTGACCACTACAAATGGCCCTATAAATGTAACTGTCACCGTTACTCTCATCTTCGCCCAGGCTTAACGGGGCCTTACTTATTCAGGGGGGAGAGTGGAGCCTCGAAAAGCACTGTTGAGAGGAAGATCCTTGGCCCCTCTTCATTCTCTACAGGGTTCCAAACCTGACGGTGGTGATATTGTGTGGTCTAGTAGCAATGATGGATGACAATATTAATTAATTGTTGTTGATCGTGATAGTAGATAGTGATAATTAATATAGATGGTTATGATTGACGATTGTTAATGATAGTGAGAATTTAATATGATGGTGATGGTGATTTGTAGATATTCAGAAATTATAGTTGATAATAATGAATGACGGCAATGAACCAATAACTACATCAATGAAAATAGAGAAATATTGATAAAATATACGAAAACTATGACCATGCTTATTCGAATTTTGTTCAATCTCATTAAGTTGTTGCAAAATTATAAAAAATAAATACATTTAATAATTAGAATCTAAATGGTTAATATTAAATGTTAATAGTCTATTTAATCAATTTTTTGGGAAGTAAAATATATTTATTTTTTAAAAGTGAGGTGTTAGAATCAAACTTTTTGGAAAAAAAAAAGTGGTAAAAATTGTTTTTCAAAAGTTAAAATAATTAAGCTTTTTTCTAAAATCCTTTTTGAAAAATAGTTTTAACAAACAGTGAACAATTTTTAAAAAATTAATCGAACACTAATTATTACTTTAAAATGCTTTTTAAATCTATTGGTGAAACATAATAAATAAGCTTTTTTTCCCCAATGATTTTAAAAATTTAACCAAATGAAAAGAAAAATTACTATTATTATTATTTTAGTTTTATTAAATGATAACTATTTTAGAAATTAGGCTTTAGAATTTTGCAGTGAAAAAATACATTTTGAATAAAAAACTATTCTGATGTAACCTAATTTCAGAAAAACGAAAAAATAGGTGAAAATAAATCATATAAGAGAAGAATATTAACTTGAACAATAAATTGAAAGAATATTAGCTTAGATAGCAAGTAAAACATGGTTAAAAAAGATTATGTAACTTTTCTTCTTGTTCTTTCTTCTATATATATATATAATACCACCATTCTAAAACATCGACAAATAAAATGGTTCTTTCTCTTTGCTTTCTTTGTATATATACCACCATTTCAAAATATTGACATATCAAAACATTTTCACCTTATAACAAAATGAAATAATTTGAATTAATATATATATATATATAAAAAGAGTGCATCTCAGGGGCTTACTCTCAGTCGGTCAATTGACCATTTTTTCCTTTCCCACAAATTTTCTCTAATTTGCATGTACTAAATCTGTGTTTATTCTTTCTTAGTTTATTGTGTTAAACAAAAACAATTTATGTATTAAGATAATACTCGAAAAGGACCGTGAGTCACCTTCTTTGAGCAATATCTTATTTTTCAGAGAGAAAAATGGTCATAGGTAAAACTTTAGAAATTACTTGTAAAAATTTAGTATATTTTCAAAAATTCGTTTATGCGAAATAAATTGAGATTGAGGGAGTAGCATATATTACTTAATTGTGTCAAAAATTATTATAAATCACAATAGTTAACGACTTAAAATATTTAAAAAATTGATTATCTTTAGAAGTTTTACCTCTGTCACATAAATTTAACAGAGGGGTAGTAATATATATTATTTGAAAATTATATTAACTAAGAATACCATAAATCACAATAATTAACAACTTAAAATATTTGAACAAAAATATATTTAAAAATTGATGAATTATCTAAATATCACATGTGCCACATATATTACTAGAAAAGTACTTTGAAAAATATTATATCAATAATTAATAATAAAAAATATTTAAATTTATTGTTTAACTCTTCTAATCTTATTTGTATAGTATAAATTAAAATAAAAAAAATAATATGCCTGGACTTCTGTATCCAGTTTATTATTAAGTAATATAATTTATGAAAAAAAACGTGTTTTTTATATCAATAGCTTAAACCGTAAGCTGGAAAGCTTAAATTGCATCATAGCGAGCAACACACTTACGGTCAGCCGGTCAACTGACCAATTGCCCTTCTCAAATTTTCTCTAATTTGTATGTCGTAGTTCTTTGTCCATCTTAGTATATCGTGTATTAAAATAGTATTCGAAAGAAATTACGAGTCATCTTCATTAAGCAATATTTTATTTTTCAAAGAGAAGAATGATTATAAGTATACCTTTAGAAATTACTTATAAAAAAATTGGTGAACTCTCAAAATTTCGCCTACGTGAAATAATTGAGATTAAAAAAGTAACATATATTATTTTAAAATTACGTCGAAATTATTACAAATCACAATAATTAATGACATAAAATATTAAAAATTAATTATCATTCGAAGTTTCACCTATGTCGCATAAATTTAAGAGAGGGATAGTAATAATATATTATTTGAAAATTATATCAACTAAGAATATCGAAATCATAATAATTAACAACTTAAAATAGTTAAATAAATATATTTAAAAATTGATGTACCACATATATTACTAGAAAAGTATTTTGAAAATATTACTATATAAATAATTTAATAATAAAAAATATTTAAAAATTTAGTTAACTCTCCTAATCTTATTTATGTCGTATAAATTAAAATAAAATAAAAATAATAAGCCTGAACTTCTGTATATAATTGAGGAAAATAACGTGTTTTTTAATTAATACTTAGCTTAAACCGTAAGCTGGAAAGCTTAAATATGGAGCGACGCTATATATATATATGTATATATATACCACCTATCAAAACATTGACAATCAAAGGGGCTGTTCTTCTTGTTCTTCTTCGTTTTGTCTGTCGTCGGTATCAACGGCTACAAGTGAGTAAAATTTCATTCTTCTGGAGCTTTTTGATGCATTGTGTACCGTGTTTATGAGTTTTTGTAAATTTTCTTTTGATTACTTACATGTTGGGTTCTTCTGGTTTCTTGATAGTTTATGTGGTCGGTCCAATCTCCTTATACATTATTCTTGAGAACACACTTTTCAATTTCTGCACTTTCCTGCATTCTTGATTCAGAAAACTGAATTTAGGAATGTCGCTCTCTTTCTTTTTCCTTTTCCTTTTTGATGTATTGGTTAGTTAACAAGACTTTGTTTTCATAAAGTCTAACAACACCTTTTTCAACTTTCTTGCTTATTCTTCAGAACTTAATTGAAACTTAATTTTGTTTATAGCTTGATTTTGGTACATTACTATGTCTCAGAAGAAAGACCACATAGGGTATTGCATGGCAAATAGGGAATGACCTACACACACTTTATTGAATATGTTTTTCCGAAAGATTTCTTTGTCAAATTGATTGATTACGGCATTCTTTCTTGCCTTTGGTCCACGTGAGGATTGACATTTATAGATGATACACTTAATACTGCCAATTTCATGAAAGGAGAGCTTTTACTAAATACCACTAGGTACTGTATATTCCTACTTCATATACCTTGATGTGTTCAATCTTGATCAAATATGCGAACAAGGAAAAGAAAGTACCAACACCTTTTCTCAACTCTCAAGAGCTCTGATTTTGGAAAGTCAGCATTTGAAATTAATCAGAAAGGAAGTAGAGTAACATCATATATTGCAACCCTGTGATGGAAAAATTCAATCCATTTGTGGAATATAATGCAGACATGTAAAGATAAAAGCCAGGAGGAGTTGAGGTTTTAGGACTACCAGTTAGGTGATAAAGGTATTCTTACTTTGTTCTCTTCTGTAATCTATATGTTCTACATTCATCTGAAATCCTTGTTGAGCTTTTATTAAATACTAATACTAAGTACTATTTGTTCCTACTTCATATTTTTGGATATCTTAAGTGTTCAATCTTGATCAAATTTGCAAATTAGGAAAAGAAAGTACAACACCATCTGCTCAAGAGTTCTGGTTTTGGGAAGTCCGCATTTAGTATTAGTCTTAAAGGTAGAAGAAAAACATTATTTATTGCAACTCTAGTGATAATTGCACAACACCGGAGGTGGACAAGTTCAATCCGTTAGTGGAATGCAGACTTATCAAGAAAAGGCCAGGAGGAGTTGAGGTTTGAGGACTACAGTTAGGTAATAAAGGTGTCCGTAACTTGTTTTCTTATCTGTAGATATCAAAGAAATCTACCTTGCATTCAATTAACACTTTTATACTTCATGGTGGGTGATTTGCAGGTCAAAAGGTTAGTCTTCATTTAGTGTTTCCAATGCACAGGGAGTGTCATCGACAAAACTAGGCCTTTCATATCATTAGTATTTAACCAATCAACTGTTGATCAACCTTTTTATCCTCATTTTAAATACATTTGCAGTGGAAATAACAGGGCTTGACATAATAAAATGAAAAATTCTACAGAAACTGCATCTACCCATTTCCGAAGTCATAACAGTTCATTTTCCATATATTTCCCCCAATACATCATTGATAAACTCTTGTGCACTTGAAGTAGAGTTGAATCTAGTGCCTCAGATGTTTCTCCTTTCTCCATGATCCATGTTCAGTGTCACCTTCCTAGTATACTTGGTTACCAAAACTATCAGGCCACTCCTGCTTTGTCAAAAGAACTTTTCTCCCTCTCCTGTTTTAACTATAGGAGGCCATCCACAATCGACATTATGTTTCAAGTACTCCACTTGCTGCTAGTTAAAATACTTTTAATTGGACAAGGCGGTGATTAGCCAAGTATCAAATCCTACAGTGAGTATTTAACTTAACCATTTATTGTTTTACTTACTGCGTGAGTTATAAAATTCCTAATTTTGACTTCTAGACTTTCCTGACATTTTTTTTATTTCCGCTACCTAAGTTAGTACTCCACAGTCCCTTTCTAACCTGATCGTTTTATTCTTCTTCTGGTTACTAATTTACAGGAATGTGTCTCAAGGATCCTACCAAGTTTAGGTTTACGTTCTTGAACAAATGATTTATTTGCCTTTTCCATTCAGCATTGCATCGTACATTATGCTTATGTACTTGTGAAAGACATATGATGCCTGTTGGATGAAGTGGACATATGGAGAAGTGAGAACCTTGTGAGATAGTTTGATCTCTGTTGGGTGTGCTTTGTAACGTTGGTACCTTTGTCGTTGGTGCCTAGATTATTATTTTTTTAAGTGTCTCTGGCCTTATTCTCTTAAAACATTTTCTTGCTATATGTATCAGCATCCTTGGTATACTCGTATAGGTAACCTTAGCATCTTTGACGCACGTGACTTTGGTATTTGTGATTATTATATCCATGTGCTTTTGCTTCGTTTATCACTTTGGTCTTCGAGTGCAACAAACTGTGTTTTGACTCTTCTTTTCTCTTGAGATAACATATGGCTTAACGTTCTTTTTGTTCTTTCTTTTGGGGCATGCTTTTGTAGGGTGCACGGCAGCTTTGGATGCTGAACATTACTTGCAAGAAATCGTGCCCAAGAGGGGTCTGTTTCTTCTTTTTCTTGCCTCTGTGATCCTTTATTTGTACTTTCTCATGCACCAGCTATACCTTAACATATTTGCAGGTCTTACTTTCCGAGAATCATGGAAGTGAATCCATCACCAATTATGCCTCCTGCTTTTCCTAGAATCATGGAAGTGAATCCATCACCAATTACGCCTCCTGCTGAAACACAACCTTCAGTCCCAATCTCGGTAGAGCATCCGAACTTGGCAGCATTCATCCAGTATGGAATTTCTAATTTACCTGTAAGTTCACATTTCTGAACAACTAAGCATAATTAATGTTGCTCCTGGAAGTGTTCATTGGTCTTAAACCAAGTATCATACTCACTGGAAGTTACATGATGTTTTGGAATGCCTCATTACTATTGCTATAAATGTTATGTACCTTGAAAGACAGATTTATTCTTTACCTTTGTTATGTTGTAATTATTGATGTCATCAAGGTAGATGTAACTGCGTCAAGTTTCTGGCCTTTGTCTTTATGTTTATTTGATTTTACCGCATCAAGAAGGTTTATTCTAATAAGTTTCAGTATTTCTTCAATAAAATGTAAACATCAATATAGTTGTCCAAGTTCCAAACAAACTCTCCAAAGTATCAGACATGATTATGTTTTTGTAGTTGCACTTTTATTGTTAAACTCATACTGTTTATGTTTAACGTGAAAACAGAAGTTGTAGGCTATTATGAAAATTTCTACTGTTGTTGGTTGCAGGTCTCTAACAACCCTGCTATGATCAGACAAAAATATTCATCGATAATTCGACATTCATCTCTAAGTAAGCATATGTTGCACCGAAATACAAACCTACAAGTGATATACCAAAGGTGAGAAGTTGGGTTTTACGTGAGACTTTTTTAGTAGTTTGTGGGATGCTTTGGTTGATGGACCAAAAGTTTAAGAGAAACACATATCATATGCAAAGATTGCAAGTACGGGTATCCTTTTGGTGAAATAATACATCACAAAGTTCATGTTTTCCTCTAATCCAAGTAAAACACTGGCAATATAACAAGACTATAAAATTTATTTATAAAGTTCTCTTTTTCATGGATGAAGAAAATGCTTCTGGTGTACAAAGGACAGTAGTCATCATCATTCCAAGGTGGGAACAATGTCGAAGTTTGAGGTGGGAATTCACTCAGGGTTCGAGGTGGGAATATTCCCTTCTACCACACGGTTCAATTTTTTGGTTTATTTTATCAAACAGGGATCAGGTATTACATTTTTTTGGTAACCAAAAAACTGTGGAACCTAGATTTTGCAAAATCAAAACCAGTGGCGAATATGAATTACCAGAAACTGAATTGTTTTGGAGCACTGGTCTTGTATTTGAATGCAGGAACCTCTAGCTGGTGTTCCAACATTCCATGAGAGGTGTTCATATCCTTTGCTAACAACAAAAACAAACCCAATGTTAGTCCCTTATGTGTGGTCTGGAATAGAGTGTTCACAGACCCCTACCTCGTAGACGTAAAGAGGCTCTTTCCATAAGATCCTCAGCACGAGTAATGTACATCAAAGCAGTTAAAAGTTCTGTCTTTTCTACTATTTTAAGATAATTGTACTAGCTAAAACCATCTAAAGAACAACGGAACTCTATAGAGTTGTAGATGATTAGGATAGGATAAATCCTAAAGGTGTAGAAAATAACTAGCATTCCTAAAATTTATTTGAAAGTGCTTTCAAATTGTGGCTTTCTAGTTATGTTGAGAAGTCTATAGGAAGCTTACCTGAGATTTGGTGCTCTATTAACCACGTTACCTTTTATACAGGGGAACGAGAAGAAATTGTGTGGAGAGTATATTTGAAGTATTTCCAAATAGAATAAGTTGGTATTTTATCTTAACCTACAGGTTATTTGCATCTTAATGTATATGTTTCTATGTGTCTATTTATTGTAACAGGATAATTGTTATTGCACTTTCTGACATGACTTGATCACAAGTATGGATTTAGAAAAAAAGTTGTTGAATGCCACGATATAGCTTATGATGAATTATCTATAGACATCTCTTCTTAGTTCCATGGGGGAATTTCCCTGTGTTGAGAATAAAATGACTAAAAAATATACTGCTGGAGTCATTGGGCTACTAAAACTGGATCCCAACATATGTAGTTGCTCAAGTCATGTGTTATTTATTTTAATATAGTTTGAAGTTTTTCAAGAAGAAAAACTGGCACACCATGTTTTCGACTTGCCTGTAAGTTGAAATTGTTAAAAGGAGATAAGGAGATGGAGCAAAGAGGTGACACAGCTAATAAATGAGAAGGGGGAGATTGAGCATGTGGAAAGTATGAGGGTGTTCGAATAAAGGGAGAAGGTTAGATAGGAGCAGGCAGGGGGGGAGCATGAGGCTCTAGTGGTTTCTGAAGAGTCTAGTTGGAGGCAAAAATTGAGGGCATTGTGGTTGACAGAAGGGGGAATTCTAACAAAATAGGTGTGTGAGGGGGAGGAGGAAGGGAAACTTTATTGTCTTTATAGGTGCATGAGGGGGAGGAGGAAGTAGAGGAGGCCATTGTATGGTTTTATGAACATTCTTTCAAGGAAGATATCAGATGGAGATGAAAATATTGGGGGCGCTAGTATTTAACCTAATAGGCGAGAGGGTGAGGGAGTGGCTAGAAAGGGCTGTAGAAGAAGAAGAGGCGAGGGATAGTTGTCTTGGTGACAAGGCTCCAAGTCCTGATGGATTCTCCTTTGCTTTTTTACAACAATGTTGGATGAAAGTCAAATGTGAGCTGTTGGTGACCATTGCAGAATTCAGGGGAGTATGAGTAAAGTCTTATGCATCCTTTGTTACTAATGTGCCAAAGAAGGAAGAGAATAAAGGACTATAAACCTATTAGTCTGGTAGGAAGCATTTTCAAGATTTAATTTAAGGTGCGTTCAAATAAATTTAAGAGGTTCAGAAGTACTTTAAAATTCACTGCCCTTTTTTTGGGTGGGCTGGGGTTGGGAGATAGAGGGGAGATGGGTTGAAGAAGCTTTGCTCAAGATCCACTGAGTTTGGAACCTCAGGGATTTCTCCGGTTATAAAATATACTTAATTGAATTGTGCCTATGTCTGCTGGTGCCGGTAGATATAGCAACACGTCTTTCAAATATATGATATTTGTTTGATTTCAATTTTGTAGAGCTTTCTAGAAGTAGATTTATTAACCGAAACAATTTTAAGCAGAGATGTAGCTTAGGTTTTCGAGAGCCGTGATTGACCTCTAGGATATCCTATTTTTGCTCCACAGCGAGCTCTTCGAGAATATAGTTGCTGGCTGGAGACCTCGAGCAATTAATGTCAGCAGTAATTAAATAAGGTACCTCTAGTAGTTATGAAATATCTAAGGATGTACAAAACACAAAAGAGATTTAACATACGTTATTACCTGACTTGCTTTTGAAATTCTCTATTTTAGTTCTAGACTGCAAAGAAGATTGTCAATGAGGAAACAGTTGTATATTTGTATTTTCTTGTATATACCAAATACAGAACAGAGGTGGCATGCCAATTCTTAGATAAAAGCCAAAGAGATGTTTGGAAAAAGAAGTTTCTTAAAATTAAGAAGTGTATTGTATCCGTAGAAATAAATAAACTGATTCTTGAATTGTGTTTTCAGCCGATCAAATTGTGTCTCTACCTCTGTGTGATGAGTCCATTAGTTGTTTACTACTTGGGTGCATTCCACATTTTCTGTTTCAGTTTATTCAGATGAATGGGAACACCACACAAATAGGATGATAATGCAGCTGTTATCTTTACTGGAAGAATTCTGATTTAGTTTTCTGTCAGTTAGTACAAATGAAACTATTCATTTTGCTCATTTAGGACTTTAGGTGCTGATCTTCCAGATGGGATCAGTAGTGCCGTTTCAAGTATCAATATGTTTATACTCGAAGGATAGAAACATAACCTCTTAATTACAATTTTTTTTGATGGAAGGATAAGTTGCCAAAAAAGAGATTAAGAGGAAAAGGGACAGAAGTAGATGTGTTATTTGCAACAGATGCAAAAAGGAAACATAGATTCAGTTACTTGACGAAAAAGAAAAGAGCAATGAAGTGGAACCAACAAAACATGGAGGAGTTACGGATAAATTGTTGTATCTTTTCCGTATGATTGTAGTCTTTCTTGATATAATGGTAAGGTTACTAAAATAGATTCAGGTACCGGTGCTTTGATTTGTCGGGTGAGTATTTTAGAAAAATTCTAGCTATTATGTTGCTTTAAAAAATAAAAGTGCATTTGCTTTGTCAATTTAAGTTTTAGATGAGTTCTTTAATATGGTATTAGAGCGGACAAAGATTCAATATTTGAGTATTACTGTCACTCGTAATTAAAATTATTCCATGTGCTTGGGAGCCCACATATAGGGGGTTGAACCCCTTTGACATTTCTTCATCTGAAAATAATTCTTGTTTTGAGAACACAGAGCCATTTTTAATAATGACTCTCTAGCTTCTCTTTAGTGTAGCTATTATTGGAAAGTGTAATGTCTTATCGACTTGTCCTAGTAACTTAAAAGGAGATCGAAAAGACTTTTTAGTAGACTTACTTTTAAACTTTTTGTGGCTGAGCATACCTTATGCAGAGGCTGATATATTTCTTCAATAATAAGATGTTCATCTCCATATACAGAAGAAAATTCAATAGCAGCAGCATTTTTATAGAACAATTTATGACATACCCTTTATGTAGTATCCATATGCTGTGGAGCGAGTCCATTATCACATGCATCTGATTTTCCATCCTTATTTCCAGTAGCTTCATTTTGCATAGCCACAACATCTAGTACATTGTTGTTTCTCCTGAAACACAATGCAGACATTACAGTTGCAATGCCAAGCATATGTATGTCAAATGTCCGTTATGATGTTACAATTTTAGTCTACTGTGTAGTCCACACCAACTGACAAACTTGTAGGCAAGAATGCATTATAAACTTCGGATTTGACATATTAAATGCATCCAAAAAGCAGAATAGACATGTCTAAAAATTCCATCCATAAAGCGGAAGAAACTATGAATATCCAGAACAAGATAGACTAGATAGTCTCGAACTCCCAGACTGTTGCGCGCGTCTGTTGGGGAAATCCATAAAGTTGGTAAGCCCAAATTGTTTTTAGCCAACATTGCACTAGCTTGACAATAGGAGCTGGCTTCACATACCAGCTTAAATGTTATGCATGCATCTAAAAATTCACTTATAGATGGATTTTACTTTGAAACATCCATTGAGCAAGAGACAGTATCTTCTGCCATTGCTGATTGAGGCGTCGAGTGTTCTATAGTAGTAGTTGGTGATACTAGCAGCGTAGGTTCATGACCAATCTCATTAGGAGGAACTGCCATTGCTGATAGAGGCGTCGAGCGTTCTGTAGTAGTAGTTGGTGATACTAGTAGCATAGCTCCAAGACCAATCTCATTAGGAGGAATGTATTTGTTCCTTGCATAAATTAGAGTAACAGGTTCATCTTCGTCAGATATTATTTCAAAGTCTGGTCCCTGGAGATAGTTATCAAGTGTTCTCTGGATTTGAGCAGGTGACAAAATGCCATGTCTAAGCTTTGATATCTTTCTTCTTGGGAGAGGATCTTTGTCTGCTTCTCCAAAAAGATGGTGAACATTAGTGCACATAAAACAATAAGTACTAATACAATTGATATTATCATTTTTTGTGTGTGTAGGAGTGGGGGTAAAGCTGTTGCAAAAATTTGTATGGTTAAATATATTAGTTTTCCACTTTTTTATAACCCTTACACTTAAGAAAGGATGTGATTCATGAAACGACCTAGATACTATCTTACAAATCCTTGTTGCTCCCAGATATGAACTCCAAGATAAACCTTTGGAGGTCCCTTCAGGGCTTCTAAACTCCTCTCCGGTTGTAAACTGGAATACTGTACTCCTTAGCAAAGACAGGAAGGGGAGGCTGGGAAATTGAAATTTGAGATTGCAAAATGGAAGTCTTCTGAAGAAGTCATTGTGGAGGTACATTGAGGAGGGAAATGCTCTCGAGAAAGAGGTGATTAAAGCTGAGTATGGTGTGCTAACCCCATGGTGTACAGAGAGCACAGTTGAACCTTACGGGGTGTGGGAGTATGGAGAACAATCAAAAGTTTGTGGTCACAAATGAAGGCAGACTTTTATATCAAAGTGGGAAATGACAGTAAAACAAGATTCTGGAAGGATGTCTGGATAGAACAATTTCCTCTTAGGAATCTCTTTCAAATTTGTGAGATGCTAATGTAGTTGCCTGTTGGGCCAGAAGTCAGAACAGGGATGGGATATAGCCTTCGGAAGGCTTGTAAATGATTGGGAGGTGGAATGGGTTGTAGAGTTACTAGGGAAGATAGGTGGAATAAGTATGAATTCAATAAGCAGTGTCTACAGAAGAGGTCTCCAGCTGATGGCTGGGACCCAAAACATCTCTGACACTATTTCTGGAATGGGGGCATTCCTAGAATAGTGAGATGCCTCACTTGGCTTGTGATAAAGAGGGCATGTTCAACACAGGTAGTACTACCGAAGAAGGGCATACAATGTTTTTAATGTATATATAAGTGAAATTTTCTTACCATTTGTTTCTTCCATTTGCATGGATTTGTCTGGGGATGATCCTGCTGAACCCAAGCTTAATATTTTAATCATTTCCTCTTCGAAACAAGCTGAAGAACCATCCTGTTCAGAAACCTCTTCACCAACTTCCAGCTTTTGGTCATCACGAGATAACAGATGCGGCTTCATCTCAGAAGGTAAGTCTGTGCTTCCATGTTTGGGAACATAGTCATCTAGTGTCTCTTTAGTTCGCCATCTTAATCCACATGCATTGCAGAGCACTGGTTTTTCAGTTGGCCCAGGTCTCCATAGGGGGGTTTCTGTTTGAGTTCACAATTAATTAGCGTTAAAATGGGACAAAATATTAATAAAAACTTAACAGGTAATTATCTCAGAAACTAAAGCACAATGATCATTGACGATTAAGATTTTCTGAAAAAGGTTTAGAATGTACTGCGCGAGAACATAAGCATCACGAAACTAGAGTACGTGTAGTGGGGAATATCTTTGGGAAAACATGAGGAAATATCTCTCTGTGAAACATGTATAGACTTTTAGGATGTGTCAACTGCTTTTACAGACATTTTCATCACCATTTTATGGCACCATACAACATAGTTGAACGAGCTTGATGGTGGAAAGTTTGAAAAGGATTTGCTTGTTGTGTTAAGGAACCATGCAAAATAGTTAACCTCTTGGCAGACTGCATTTATTTGTATAATATTTTAAGGAGGAACACTATCAACTAAAATATCAACGAAATCTCCATGCCCTCTTGTTTTCTCCCTTTCTCTGTTTTTTTGTTGCACTGCCTCCACCGGTCAGCAAGAATCAGTGACCCTATACTAATGACTAATGACCGGCAGACCAAAGGAGTATATCGGAGCTCGCTGGATTTAGGAAAATCAGTGTATTGTACTTTTTATCCCCATCAACTCCTAGGTATGATCCGCCGCACCTTTTATGTATTACCCTGTCTTATCTAGACCTGATTTTTCCTTGAGAGATTGTTCAGACCCTTGTTGTTGCTTTAGTGTTAAACTGATTTCCTTAAATCTGATATTGTGTTCGTGACTTATTATTGTGCCCTTGTGAATATTACTACATTTTCTTGGTTCCTACTTTGCACTGTATCTTTGCTGTTGCCTTTTTTTTTATTTTTTTCTTCATTGTGTTGTGTGACTGCCACTTTTGGATTCAGGGTTTTTGACGTTACAGGTTGCCCCATCTATAACTGGCATTAGTGGCTTCAAAAGGTTTCATGGTAGTTTAAAGGCATGTCAATGATTTGGGGTGAGGGCAGGTGTGGTAAGGGTACCAAGGGAACTCCTAGGTTGTGATTTAGGGATATAGTCGAGTAAGTCAATAGAGTTGGTGATTATAAGCAAGAGAAGGAGGATCAAAATACCTTGTGTTTAGGACACCTAATGGGTAGGAACTAAGACTAGGGATATAGGAGGGTTCAACTTAAGGTACTCAGGAAGTTTGAGGAGTAGAAATGGAATAGGTATTATAGTCTATGTTGTTCAGATCTTTCAAAAATTTCAGTAGGTGCATGTCGGATACTCCAAAAGTAGTGCATTTTGGAGAATTCGACATGAGTGCGGCAACAATTTCAGAGAGTCCAAGCAACATAGATTTCAGGGGAAGATCATAATGTTCCTATAAATGAAGTCACCAACATGACTGGTTAGCTGTTATACATGATGGAGAATTTGGCAGTCTGCCAACAATTTACTTGGGACTACCTCTGGGGGCTAAATCTAAATCTATAGAAATATGGGATAGAGTGATAAAGAAGTGTGAAAAGAAGCTAGCCAGGTGGAAAACTCAATACCTTTCCTTAGAGGAAGACCAACTCTCATTAATTCAGTCCTTGATGCTTTACCAACTTATATGATGCCTTTATTTCCCATCCCACCAGGTGTTATCAAAAGGTTGGACAACATTAGGAGAGAGTTTTTGTTGCTGGTCAACAAAGAAAAGAAAGGGTACCACCTGGTAAAATAGAAATCTGTGACTAAGAAGAATGGGGGCTTGGGATAAAGAATTTTGAATTTCAACACAAAGCTCTAATAATGGAGTGGTTATGGAGATATGCCAATGACAGACAGTTGTAGTGGAGCAGGGTCATTGATGCCAAATATGAAGCGGAAGATAGCAGGGTCTAAGATGTGCATCTATGCCAGGGATTGGGGACCAAATCTACAATCTATCCAAGATAAACTTGGTTCCTGTTAGACTAAGGGGCACTGTTTTGAAAATCAATTAGCATTTGGCTCGAGAGATGAGAAAATTCAAGTACCCTATGTTTTATGTTTAACAGATCGGCAATTTAGGGAAATTTGGTTATTTACTGTTTCAGACATGTGAGTCCTTAATGTTTATTTTCTTAACATCAGGCACATAAATTCTAAGCATCAATGAATCAATTATTCTGTAAAGCACGAGATTATTGATAAACATAAAAGGTGGGATGCGTGTGGTTAATAGAACTTACGCTCGATGCCACAATGGCAACATGGCCCTTGTTTACCCATAGAATCTGGTTCTGACTGATTCCAGTTCAGATCAGGTTGAATGTACTGCTGCTAACGTTAGAGTTGGATCTGCTCTCAAAACCTAAAAATGTCTGACTGAGGCGAACGATGAAATATATAGACAAATAAGAAATTAGTAGACTACAGCTAGTCATTTATTTATGGAAATAAGATTAATCATGATAGAGGGTCATTAACTTGGATCTATTCTGTTTTCCCTTTTGTAACAGCTCAACAATATTTATTACCGCAATTTTCTATTATTGACAATAGAACTCCAATGAGAGAAGTCTTCTTTAAAAAAATGGGGGTGGGGATTTGGGGGTGACTGCTGGATTTGGTGAACCATCATATTTTGGCCTTTAGTCTAGTGGTCAAGGGTTGTTAAGCAACGAATCTTAAGGCAAGGGAGCATTAAATATTTTCAATATGATAATTGAAAGATCTACGAGTGAGCAAATAAGATGGTAACCAAATAACCAAGTGAAAAGAAAATTAGTCGCCAAAAACTTCCCAAGTGACTGTTTGAACACACCTTAGTGAGCTTCCAAATCGTGAATTTTCTCAAGCTTTTTCTTGGCACTTTTATCGTCAATTTTAGAGGTCCTTATCTCAACTGTTAGTCGTGAAGACTCGACTGGCAATATTTTGTAAGATGATATTGACTCATCTAAACAATAATTTCTTGTACTTGAAATGCAGATAATCTATTACGGTCTTTGCAACCATTTTATTGTTTAATGGACTGAATTAAGGATGTTCCATTTTTCAGGCCAGTCCCTGCTACTGAGATGCAGCAGCGGCACTTATTTTTTCTCTCTTACTGTGCTTGCGTATTCATTCGTCGCCATTTACAGAATTTCGTGTATCTAACCAGATGGATTTTTTTAAATTTTATTCTTACTGACTTCCACTTCACAAGCACTATCATGCCTCACTTCAAGCTAGTTGAGGCAACTCTATGAATCTCTATTATCTTGCTTCACTTAAGCTCATAATGCTTCATTTATCTTTATGATAATTGCTCTCGGATTATTTAATAATGACTCTCTAGAATCTCTTTTAGTGTAGCTATAATCCTGAGGCTGATATACCTATTTCTTCAATAATAAGATGTTCATCTCCATATACAGATGAAAATTCAATAGCAACAGCATTTTTAGAACAGTTTATTGACATACACCTGATTGTAGTATTCATATGATGTGGAGTGAGTCTATTTTCACATGCATTTGCTTTTCCATCCTCATTTCCAGTGTTATCATTTTGCATAGCCACATGATCCAGTACATTGTTGTTTCTCCAGAAACAAGTACAATGCAAGACATTACAGTTGTAATGTCAAGCATATGTAAGTCAAATTGCCTTTGTGATGTTACAATTTTAGTCTACCGTTGAGTCCACACAGAAGGACAAACTTGTAGGTAAGCAAGCATGATAGACTTCGGAATTGACATACTAAATGCATCCAAAAAGCAGAATTGACGTGTCTAAAAATTCAAACCATTAAAATGGAAGAAATTATAAATATCCAGAACAAGACAAACTAGATGGTCTCAAAACACCTAGACTGTTGGGGAAATCTGTAAAGTTGGAACAGCCCAATTGTTTTTAGCCCACGTTGCACTAGCTAGACAATAAGATCTGGCTTCACATACCAGCTTGAATGTTATGCATGCATCTAAAAATTCACTTGTAGATGAATTTTTTTTAGAAATATCCATTGAGCAAGAGACAGTATCTTCTGCCACCACTGATTGAGGCGTCAAGAGTTCTGTAGTAGTAGTTGGTGATACTAGCAGCATAGCTCCAAGACCAATCTCATTAGGAGGAATGTATTTGTTCCTTGCATAAATTAGAGTAACAGGTTCATCTCCATCAGATATTATTTCAAAGTCTGGTGCCTGGAGATTGTTATCAAGTGTCCTCTGGAGTCTTTGAGCAGGTGACAAAATGCGTTGTCTAAGCTTTGATCTCTTTCTTCTTGGGACACTGTCAGGATCCAAGTGAGGATCTTTGTCTGCTTCTCCAAAAAGATGATGAACGTTAGTGCACATAAAACAATAAGGTACTAATAAAATAGATCTTTTTTTGTGTGTGTGGGAGACTTTGTATGGTTTAATATATTAGTTTTCCACTCTATTATAACCCTTACGCTTAAGAAAGGATTTGACAAAGACCGGGGGGGCTGGGAATTTGAAATTTGAGATTGCAAAATGAAAGTCTGAAGAAGTCGCTGTGGAGGTACATTGAGGAGAGAAATGGTTTCTGGAAAGAGGTGATTGAACCCGAGTATGGTGAGCTAACCCCATGGTGTACAGAGAACACAGTTGAACACCTTAAGGGGTGTGGGAGTATGGAGAACAATCAGAAGTTTGTGGTCTTAAATGAAGGCAGACTTTTATATCAAAGTGGGAAATGATAGTAAAACAAGATTTTGGAAGGATTTCTGGATAGAACAATTCCCTCTAAAGAATCTCTTCCAAATTTGTGTGAATCCTGATGCTAACTAGGTGCATGTTGGGCCAGAACAGGGATGGGATTTAGCCTTCAGAAGACTTGTAAATGGTTGGGAGGTGGAAAGGGTTTCAGAGTTACTAGGGAAAATAGGTGGAATGTGTATGGATACAATTTCCAGACAAGATGCTGTGGAAGCATTAATAAAAGTGGTCTTTATTCAGTTAGCAGTGTCTACAGAAGAGGTCTCCAGCTGATGGCTGGGGATCCAAAACGTCTCTTGGAACTATTTCTGGAATGGGGACATTCCTACAGAAGTGAAATGTCTCACTTGGCTAGTGATAAAGAGGCATCTTTAACACAGGAATTACTACAAAAGGAGGACAGAAAGCTTGTCCCTAGGTGCTTTTTATGCAATTTGACTAGAGAAACTGACAGCTACCTATTCTTGCATTGTAATTTACTAAGCAAACCTGGAATTTGTTTCTCAGCATCTCTAGTCTGAAATGGACAATGCCAGAACATACTTCAGAGTTTTTAAAGATCTGGGTTAAGAGAAGAGGCAGCAAGAGTCAAAAGAGATGGTGGAGTTAAGTCCATCATGTATATATATAAGTGAAATTTTTTTACCATTTGTTTCTTCCATTTGCATGCATTTGTCTGGGGATGATCCTGCTGAACCTAAGCTTGATATGTGAATCATTTCCTCTTCAAGACAAGCTGAAGAGCCATCCTGTCCAGAAACCTCTTCGCCAACTTCCTGCTTTTGGTCATCACGAGCTAAGAGATGCGGCTTCATCTCAGAAGGTAACTGATGGCTCTGTCTTTTTTGCTTGCATGTTTTGGAAGATAGTCATCTCGTGTTCCCCTAGTTCTCCATCTTATTCCACATGCATTGCAGAGCACTGGTTTGCAGTTGGCCCAGGTCTCCATAGAGGCTGGTTTCTGGTTAAGTTCCCAATTAATTAGCATTTAAATGGGACAAAATATTAATAAAATCTTACTGGCAACTTATCTCAGAAACTAAAGCACAATGATCATTGACAATTAAGATTTTCTGTATAAGGTTTAGAATGTACTGCATGAGAACAACAGCTTCACGGAACTGGAGTACTTGTAGCGGGGAATATCTTTGGCAAAACAAGAGAAAATATCTTTCTGTGAAACATATATAGACTTTTAGGTTGTGTCAACTGTTTTTTTACACTCATTTTGATCACCATTTTATGGCACTATACAACATAGTTGAACGAGCTTGATGTTGGAAAGATTGAAAAGGATTTGCTTGTTGTGTTAAGGAACCATGCAAAATAGTTAACCTCTTGGCAGACTGCATTTATTTGCATGATATTTTAAGGAGGAACACTATAATCTAATCTGGCAGTGGTTAACAGTATAATATTCAACAAGGACTATCTTTTTCTCTAGCGCTCAATAGTAAAATAATTCCCCCACCCCACCCACCAAGCAGTTCTCCCACTACTCTCCTCCACTGCAAGCTACTGGCCTCTCACCACCAGTGGCGAGCAGGTACGAAATCCCCCTGCCCTCTTTCTTTCTCCCTTTCTCTGTTTTTTTTTACTGCACTGCCACCACGGTCAGCAAGAATCCAGCAACCCCATCCTGATGACCGACGACCGACAGACCAAAGGAGCATATCGGAGCTCGCTGGGCTTCGGAAAATCAGTCCATAGTTTTTTTTATCCCCATCAACTCCTAGGTATGATATATTTTCCTGTCTTATATAGACCTGATATTTCCCTGAGAAATTGTTCAGACCCTTATTGTTGCTTGATTGTTAACTGATTTCCTTAAATCGGATATTGTGTTTGTGAATTTACTATTGTGCCCTTGTGAATATTACTACATCTTCTTTGTTCTACTTTGAACTGGTATCTTTGCTATAGTTCATTGCTTTCATTTTCTTAATTGTATAGTGTAACTGCCACTTTTGGATCTAGGGTTTTTGACGTAGCGGGTTGCCCCACTTGATTATTCTATAACTGGCATTAGTGGCTTCAAAAGGTTTGATGGTAGTTAAAAGTCACGTCATTGATATGGGTGAGGGAAGGGGTGGTAAGGGTACCAATGGAACTCCTAGGTTGAGAGTTCTGTCTTGGAACATAGGGACATTGACGAGGAAGTCAATAAAGTTGGTGATTATTCTTTAGAGGAGGAGGATCAATATACCTTGTGTTTAGAACACCTAATGTGTAGGAACTAAAACTAGGGATATAGGAGGGTTCAAGTTAAGGTAATCAGGAAGTTTGAGGAGTAGGAATGGAGTAGGTATCATAGTCTATGTTGCTCAGATTTTTCAAAAATGTCGAGAGGTGCATGTTAGATACTCCAAAATTAGAGCATTTTGGAGAATTCGACACTGATGCGGCAACAATTTCAGAGAGTTCAGAGAGTCCAAGAAACATAGATTTCAGAGGAAGATCCTAATGTATCCTATAAATGAAGTCACCAACATGAACTGGTTAGCTGTTATACATGATGGAGAATTTGGCAGTCTGCCAACAATTTACTTGGGACTACCTCTGGGGGCTAAATCTAAATCTATAGAAATATGGGATAGAGTGATAAAGAAGTGTGAAAATAAGCTAAGCCAGGTGGAAAACTCAATACCGTTCCTTAGAGGAAGACCGACTCTCATTAATTCAGTCCTTGATGCTTTACCAACTTATATGATGCCTTTATTTCCCATCCCAACCAGGGGTTATCAAAAGGTCGGACAACATTAGGAGAGAGTTTTTGTTGCTGGGAAACAAAGAAAAGAAAGGGTACCACGTATTAAAATAGAAACCTGTGATGACTGCTAAGAAGAATTGGGGATTGGGAAAAAGAATCTGGTATTTCAAAGCAAAGGTCTAAGAATGGAGTGGTTATGGAGATATGCCAATGACAGACAGTTGTTGTGGAGCAGGGTCATTGGTGCCAAATATGAAGCGGAAGACAGCAGGGTCTAAAATGTGCATCTATGCCAGGGATTGGATACCAAATCTACAATTTATCCAAGATAACCTCAGTTCCTGTTAGACTAAGGGTAACTGTTTTTTGAAAATCAATTACCATTTGGCTTGAGAGGTGAGAAAATTCAAGTACGCTATGTTTCATGTTTAACAGATCAGCAATTTAGGGAAATTTGGTTATTTCGTGTTTCAGGTATGTGATTCTTCAATGTTTATTTGCTTAACATCAGGCACATAAATTCTAAATATTACTGAATCAATTATCCTGTAAAGCACGAGATTATTGATAAACATAAAAGGTGGGATATAGGTGGTTAATAGAACTTACGCTTGTTTACCCATAAAATCTGGTTCAGAATGATTCCTGTTCAAATCAGGTAGAATGTACTACTGCTAGCGTTAGAGTTCGATTTGCTTTCAAAATCTAAAAATGTCTGACTGAGGCGACGGATAAAATGTATAGACAGATAAGAAATCAGTAGACTACAGCTGGTCATTTATTTATGGAAATAGATTAATGATGATAAAGAGTCATTAACTTTGATCTATTCTGTTTTCCCGTTTGTGATAGCTCATCAATTTTGATTACTGTAATTTCTCAACTATTGACAATAGAACTCCAATGAGAGAAGTCTTACCATTCTCTATAAAAAAAAATGGGGGTGGGGATTTGGGGTTGGAGTGGATGGGTGAATGCTGGATTTGGTGAATCTTAACAATTTTAGGCCTTCAGTCTAGTGGTCAAGGCTTGTTAAGCAATGAATCTTAAGGCAAGGGAGCGTTAAATATTTTCTATATGATAATTGAAATATCTAAGAGTGAGCAAATAAGAGAGTTGCCAAATAACCAAGTGAAAAGAAAATCAGTTGCCAAAAAGTATCCAATTGACTGTCTGAATACACCTTAGTGAACTTCCAAATCATGAATGTTCTCATGTTTCTTCTTGGCAGCTTTATTGTCAATTTCTGAGGTCCTTGTCACAACTGCTTGTTTTGATGACTCATCTAAACAATATTTCCTTGTTCTTGAAATGCAGATAATATATTACGGTCTTGGCTATCTGTTTATTGTTTAATGGACTCCGTTATGGATGTTTCCTTTTCCAGATCAGTCCCTGCTACTGAGATGCAGCAGCGGCGCTTATTTTTTCTATCTTACATGCTTTCGCATTTATCTGTCCCCATTGACAGAAATTTGTGTATCTAAGCAGATGGATTTTTCTTTGTCATTCTTGCTGACTTCCAATTAACAACCACTATCACGCCTCACTTCAAAATATATGAAATATCACTGGCTCTGTGTACTCTGTTATCTACTTCTGTGTGATGCCAAAAATGTGTTTTGAGCTGTGAAGAGGAGAGGAATGCTGATTTTAGTTGTGTGCATATTCTTTTTGTATCCATCTAGTTGCATGAGGCATTAGTATTTTTTTTTTTCGTTTCAATACTCTTGCATAATTGAATATTGAATTTAGTTATAAATTTCAATGCTCTAAGCGGAAATGTGTGTAACACATGGTGCCTAAGAGACTTTATTTTTGTAGTTCTAAATGATTTAGCAATGCTAAGCCTTTAATCTAAAAATTATGAAGCATTATATCAAAGAATCTCAGTGGGTGTTTCTTATCAGCAGCAATGAGTTTGCTCTTGTTTCCCTAGTATGTTATTGGGTAAATCCTATCTAAAGATGATCATTTTATATGCTTGGCTCATCTTAATTTTTCTTAGTCTTCCAGCTCTGTGACTAATGAGGTGTCTCCTTGCCAGATCTCTCATTATAACTTCCTATCCAACATGACTTGGAAATGTTTGAATATACCAAGATAAGATTGTGTTTGATAAATTGATACTAGTAATTATGGCATTTCCCTTTTTTGCTGGTTTACTCGAATGTGAAGTAGGTACAGTATAGTCCTTTGCCCCGAGTACATGGATGTATAAGTTCTAACAGTCAATGATGTCTCAGTATATTGCTTGTAAAAATCAATCTTGATTCAATCAGCTTAAGCTAGTGGAAACATTATTTATTGCACTTGTGAGTTGTGATGTTCAGGTCATATATCAAACTTGTTCAAAGTAGTGCATTATTGATGTGCTGTTTTTAAGGTTTTCACACACTCACACATCATGTTTTCAAGGCTACTGGAGTATGTTTGATGCTTATTAATGACTAAATGGTGAGCTTCTTTGTCTGTCGGCAGCTGCAGGTTCAACACAGATGTTCTGGCTATGCCTCTGCCTCTGCCTCTTTGTGATGATTTAACTTGCTAGGTTCTCAGAAATCTAATGGTCAACCTGAAAAACAAAGTGATCATATGAGCTAGTTGGGTTATGTTCCGGTTTGTTTGACCCATTTTCAACTCATTTGCCGTCACTACTATTATGTTACGGGGAATATCTTACATATTCTTTGTTTAATCTTTATATGGAGATGTATTTAGTTTTTATGTCGTGATAAAATCATCTTACATAAGCAAATTAATGATCAATACATGATGGTATATTGATTCCTGAAAGAAACATAAAGTACATTGAGTATTGGTCACTAAAACAAGACAAGCAGGGCATTCTTGTTGTTGACACAAATATCAAGTAACTTTGTTCACCAAAATTAAGCATATGTCATTATATTGTGTGATCTTATCAGAACAATTTATTATGTACTTGCTTTGTTTCAACAATGGTAAATTGACCAAATTGTTTCAATTGGTTGATTTTAACAAATAAGGTAGTAGTTTTTTAATGGTCTACTGTCTAACTCTAAAATAAAAGTCTTGCTTCTGAATATCTTATATATCTTTATATTGTTGGTGATGTGATTCTTTTTAATTATTCACCATCAAAAAATTAATGCTTTATTAAATCAAAATTGCTCGGTAGTAATGTAAAATAAAAAGTTGTCTAAATATGGTTGTTGAAAATTCCATAAATTTATTAATATACTTTTTTCCCAAAATTATCCTTGTCTAATAAAATATTAAACAATGTTTAATAAAATAACTCATTTCATTAATGTTAATAGTTGACTTTTTTTATGAGAAAATCTTTTTAAAAATTCACTTAAAATGGACCCGGGGGATATTTTCTGAATATTAGATTAAATAGTTTATGAGTACCATTGGATCATTTTTAGGATAGAATAAAAGGAATTTAGTCAAAATCTTTAAATATCACCTAAAATGGACTACTGAGAAGCAATATGTAAATGCTAAATTAAATAGTTTCTAAGTATATGAGGGGTTGATTTCGTTTTTAGGATAGAATAAAAGAAATTAATATTAAATTGAAGGAATTTGGAAGAATGACTTCTATGTGTCGATCAATATCAAGATATTTGTTCAAATTGTTCTTATATTTTTTTTAATCTCAATTTAATATTTATATTTCTTTCACCACCTTAATTTCTAATTGTTTTCATTAAATATTGAGACATTTTATACTGAATGCACAAAATTTATACTAAATAAGATTATTTGTTTCTCAGCACGTAAATATACAAAATATCATTTATTTAGAATCAACAAATATAAAAATTATATGACAGTTAAAGATGATGATAGCTAGCAATTGGTTGTAGCTTTGTAAGTGTCGATTGGGATTATGTTAGGTGTACGGTGATAATGGATGGTCTAGTATAACGGTGATTTGTCGTAATTGGTTTCTAGAAAAATACTCAAACGCTAATTATTACTTTAAAATGCTGTTGAAATTTATTGGTAAAATCTAATAAAATTTTTCCTGGATTTAAAAAATTTAACCAAATGGAAAAAAAATAATTAATATTATTTTAATTTGAGGAGTAACTATTTTAGAATTTTGCAGCAAAAAAAATGCACATTCTGGAAAAAAAAAAAAACTTTTCTGATGTATCCTTGACTTTCAGAAAAAATGACAAAATAGGTGAAAATTGATAAGAAGAAGTGGTAAAGTGAAGGAAGTGAGTAATTGAGGAAGATGAGGAGCAAACCAGCTGCTATTTTCATGGCTTTCGGTACTAAAGGCGATATCTACCCTCTTGCCGTAACCCTCTTCCTCCTCCTCCTCTTTTTTTTTTTTTTTTTTTGTGTGTGTGTTGTGTAAATGTAATGCCTTCACATTGACATTGAATTGTTATTGCAACTAATTGAAAATTTATCTGTGTCAATATTGAAATAGTTTCTATTTCTGGATTTTGTGCTGTACTGGTTTCTGTAGGCTCAAAGCTTTTGGGTTATCTTTCTTGTGCTGAATTTCATTACAGGCTTTGTATATTCCCTTCACAATATACAAGGGATATGTTTGTATGAATCATTAATTACCTATGTAGAGGTTGTTTTTTTTTCACTTGTGCCACATATTTTAATTAGTGACTTGATGAATAGGCCATTGCTGCAGCGTTTGCTTGTGATCAAGAGCAGTATCAAGTGTTTTTTATCACTCATTCAGCTCATGAGGTTAGCAAAAGCAGAACAAGTTGACATGTTATTGTGTTGTTTGTGTTTATATGAAGTGATCTAGTTTGATTTCAGAAAGTTGACACTGAATGCTTCAGAGTTTTTTTTTCTTTCTGTTATTTACTTCTGTTCCTGACAGAACTTGATGGTGCACTTGAGAGCAAATAAAGTTATGTATATACCAGTTTCATCGCCACCTGTTGTTTCCCCTCTTGAACATTATGGTATGTCACTTAATACAACTTCGTTATATTTGTTCTTATCCCAATATCATCAGTCAAGTACTGCCTGTTGATCAGGTAAGATGGAGTTATCTTTTTCTGCCCACAAAAGGGAAATTATCCAGAAACATAGGTATGAGTGTACTTCGATTATTGAGGATATCCTTGGAGATAGCTCAGTGGAAGGCGATGTTATTGCTATTAATTTCTTCGCTCTGGTAAATTCTCTGACATTTCATTGTTCTAGATCCCTTTTAATTTTTGTTTTTGTAAAGGAAATTTCCTTTCATCAAGATGAGCTTGGCGAGTCTATCTCCTTAGAAGGGTAGAGAGTTTGGGGGGAAGACAATGTGGAGAGAAGGAATGAGGGGGTGAATTGCTTTCAATTATATGTATGGGAAGTAAAGTCATTGTCAATTATAGTAAAGTCACAATGCTTTATTTTTTTCACCCTATAACTTGAGTTCCAGGAAGGTTGGAGTCTTGCTGAGCTTTTTCAGGTCCGTTGCATTGTGGTTGCTCCTTATGTTGTTCCCTATAGGTAGCAAGAGAAACTTTCTTATTTTTCTTCTTTTGATAAAAATCTTATTGTCTTTACCTCTGCCTTCAACTATGTATTTATTTACAAGTTACAGCAATTTATGGCTCCTTTTTTTTAATTGGTATGCCATTGATTTGATTCATATGGCAATGAACTTGATGAACATTTCTCCATGAACTTCTTGTTCTGGACACACGCTTGCTTGCTTTAAGTGTATGGAGGCCAAGCATTTAAACTCATGAATCCCTTATGTGTAAAATATGCTCATCTGTTCATTCTGAAGCATCTTGGGCATTTGAAATTACTCTAGTATCTGGATACTTAGGTTGGATATAATGCAGAACCTACACTGCTTGTTTGTCTGACTTTCAGCTCTCCTCATGCAATGTAGTGCTCCATCATCATTTGAGCGGCAATTTAGGAAAGAACATCCAGGTTTATATAACCATCTCCAGGAAGCTCCCACTGACAAGGTACTTGAGGAATTCTTTAGCCACTTGGTATATTATTCACTGACTCTCATGTGGAAATTCAGTTCCATTTTTCATTTAAAATGTACAGTGAGTTAATGGATGGACTTATGGCTGTGATTCTAGTAAAATCTTCATCCACATTTCATATTTTGTGCCTGTGGTATAAGCTTCTTCAGTACAAATACGAGCTGATTGATCGTCAATTTTGTTTCAACCCTGTTAGGTTGTTAATGTTATATGAGTCCTTCCCCTGCATTTTAGTCTTATTTGCTTTGACTAAAAACAGCATCACAGCAATTGCATGAGTTGAGGCTTTTGCTGATGGTAGGTTGGCTGGAAAGATGTTATCCATTGGATGTGGCCACTTTTCACTGAGGAGTGGGGATCGTGGAGAAGTCTCGACCTGAATCTGAGTGCCCTTCCTTTTACGGTGTGTTCTTTACTCCAGCCAATGACAATATTCCTAAATTTTCCTTTCTGATCAGAGCGTTGAACTTTGAGGCTGGAATTCACTCAGTTTAGATATTCGTCTTTAAGGGGCAAGCCAATCACTGAACCACACGGTTCATTTTTTAGCTTATTGTATGATGCAACGACCAGGCTTTTGATAACCAAAAATTTTGTAGAACTTATATTTTGCTAAATCAAAACCAGTAACCAATTCAGAACCGAACCCATTAACTGAATTGTTAGGGTCACTAGTGTTTTGGTTAAAGGTGAGTAGTGCTCCCTCTCCATTGAGTCTCTGTTATTTTGCTGCTTCTTTGTATTTACTGGTCTCTCATTTGGACGCAGGACCCTGTAACTGGTCTTCCAACATTTCATGAGAGGCTTCCGTCTCCTCTACTATTGTAAGATAATTGTACCTGCTAAAAAGTATCTATAGAACTATGGAACACTATGAAGTTCTAGAAGATAATAGTAGGATAAATCTTAAAGGTGTAGAAAAGAATAAATTTGGCCCTTACTAGCTTTTCAATATCTCTATAAAAAGTGCTTTCAGATTGTGTCTTCCCGGTCATCTTGAGTATTCTATAGAAAGCTTACCTGAGATTTGGTGTTCCATTAGCCATGTTGCCTTCTAAACGAAGAAGCAAGGAAAAATTGTGTAAAGATGTATTTTCACAGTATTTCCAAATGGAATAATTCAATATTTTATCTTTGGCCTATAGGTTATTGGCATCTTAATATATATGTTTCCATGTGTCTATTTATTGTAACAGGATAATTGTATTTGCACTTTCTGACATATTGTGACTTGCTCACAGGTATGGATTTAGCAAAGAAGTTGTTGAATACCCTGGTATGGATTATGATGAAATGTCTATAGACATTTGTTCTTAGTTTCATATGAAAATTTCCTGACACGAGAATAAAATGCTAAAAAATTAATATAGTATATATCTCTCCATTTTGGTGATCTTTGACCTTTTGTAACATGACACTTAGATTCTGTATAACTGCATGATTACAATGGAGAATTGCAATAATGGTGTTATAAGGAATCAAGTTGATGCTTCTGAGAATATATGTCTGCCTTTTTTGTTCTTTGGAGTTGTAAAGTACATATCAGTTGAAAGCCACACTTTACTTTTCGACTTTAGGGTAAATCCAGCTATATTGCACATTCAGCTACTCTATTGACTTTAAGGCTACAAGCTTTCCGGACTTTGGCTATGTAAGATAACCTAACTATGGTCTTTGTAAAATCGTGAGAAGAAAAAAAAGTTGAGCCGCCTGCTTTAGATGGTTTTGTCAATGCAAAAAGTTATTATTGACGAAGTTGTATTAATAAAGTTATTATACCGTTGTTATTAAGCTGATCAGTGGACTATATATTAGGTTATTGGCCATCAAAAGTGCATGTTTGTGGCTTTTGGTTTCCTCCCAAGGAATGGCAGTTTTCTTGCATTGACTGTGCAGAAATCTCTGCATCGGTTTCTCCAGGGAGTTCAAATAAGCAAAACAAA